TACAGTTTTATGGGTTTATACTTGCACTAGAAAAGTGGTTGCAAGCCATTGGAATCAACACCTTTAAAGAGAGGAAAAACAATAAGATATTATGCCTTTTAATATTAATTTTAAGTCAGAAAAGGGTTCAAAGGACGTGTATACTATTTTAAACCAAAGTACTATAGCTATAGATTTTGCTACTGAAAAAAATGGGAAGGTATTCTAAATAAGGATGTAGAAAATTAGAAAAAAGTACACTCTTTTGTTATCAAGGTTTAAAAAAACACCAAGTTATGTTGATTTCAATATATAATTATTCATTATATTTTGGGTACAAACCGTCTAATCTTTGAAATGACCCTTGTAAACTTAATTTATGTACATTTTACAAGGAAGAGCCAGAATCGATATAACATTTACTTTGGGGTTGTCATATTGAAGCCGACATTTGGCACAATCTGAATTCTGGGATAATTGATATAGTACATATCGAAATTCCATATTGTCATTTTTGGCCTCTATCAAAATTATAAATAAAATTTTATCAAAAAAAAGTTATTTTACCGAAAAAAGTGCTTCATTAACAGATCTAAGATGCATGATGTAAAACCTCATATAAACGGACTTCAAAATTACATAAAAGAAAACTCGATTTTAGTCAAAAATATGAGTTTGGAGAATACAACTTGTACTGGAAGCCCCGGACTAAGGTTACTGATTAAAGTTTAATGATGTAAATTTATATACATTTGTGTGTATATCTTATGAGTATACAATGCAAACTGCTCAGAGTCTGAAAAGACCACATTTTGTGCTCGACCAGTAAAATCGAGCACAGATTTTACTCGACTAGTCTCGATATTGTCTCGACAGTACTTAACTGTACTTAACTGTACTCGGCATTGGTTGTGACTTTACTTAATAAGTCTCATTAGGTACATGATGATCTTGATGTAGTCTGAAATGGTCTCGACCAAGGCTCGACCAGATTCGACCTGTCTCCACTCAGTCTCGATCTGTCTCCACTCAGTCTCGACCTGTCTTGACCAGTCTCAACCTGTCTTGACCTGTCTGGACTAGTCTTGACCTTCAGATTTAGTCTTGACTGGTCTGAATCAGCCCATCTAACCAAATTAAATTTAGATCTAACAAAATTCCAGTTTATTTGGTAGTTTCGTTCATTGTTGAGAAATTAAATAATTTAATTAATAGGTAAAAAAAATAGATTAACTTCAGATATTTAATTATTTCTATAACTTTTTTCAAATCAACTTGGATTTTCATAAAATTCTTCAGCTATCTCAATTATACTTTGATCTTACAGAATGCCAGGTTGTTTGGTAGTTTGATTTATTGCTGTCAAATTTGATGATTTAATTATAAATAGATAAAAAAAAAAGCTAGAATTTTCAGTGTACTGAATTCAGATAGTCAACTTTAAATTTGTTTATTACCGTTTCAAATTTACTTGGATTTTCAAAAAAACTATACAGCTACCTCAGTTATATATTGATTTTACTGAATCCCAGGTCGTTATGTACTTTGGTATATTGCTGTCAAATTTAAGGATTAAATTAATCTAGGTAAAAAAAGCTAGAATTTGCAGTTCGGACTAAATTCAGATAGTACACTTTAATTTGTTTTTATATTTTTTTTAAATCAACTTGGATTTTCTTCAAACTTTACAGCTATCTAAATTATATATAGATCTTAAAGAATGTCAGGTTGTTTGGTACTTTTGTTAATGGCTGTCAAATTTATGGATTTAATTGATAGGTAATTTAATAAGCTAGAATTTTCAGTTCAGACTGAATTCAGATAGTCACCATTACATTTGTTTATTTCTTTTTCAAATTAACTTGGATTTTCATAAAACTATACAGCTATCTCAGTTATATATTGATCTTACTTAATCCCAGGTTGTTATGTTGTTTGCCATATTGCTGTCAAATTTAAGGGTTTAATTAATCACGGTAAAAAATAGCTAGAATTTTCAGTTCGGACTTAATTCAGATAGTCATCTTTAAATTTTTTTTATAACTATTTCAGAGCAACTTGGATTTTTCATCAAAATCTACAGCTATCTCCATTATATATTTATCTTACAAAAATACAGGTTATTTGTTAATTTGGTTTATTGCTGTCAAATTTAAATATTTAAATTTATATCTATCTGAATTTAGTCAAAACTGAAAATTTTATCCTTTTTTTACCTATTAACTAAGTCCTTAAATTTGACAGCAATACACCAAAATACAAAACAACCTGGTATTTTGTAAGATAGATATATAATAAAGATAGCTGAAAAGTTTGATGAAAATCCAAGCTGATTTGAAAAAGTAATAAATTTTAAAAAAATGACACATTTGTTTTGTTAAAACAAGAATTTAATATAATCATGATAATAGAACTTTCATAGCAATCCTTGATAACCTTTTAAAAAAGGAAATGTGTACCAAAGTTACAGTAAAAATTTATTTTAATCAAATTTAAAAAAATTTTTGTCAAAATTAAAGACATGGCATACAAGAAGCACTTTAATAAGGTTTAATTACATCAGTACATGTGTGTTTTACAGGTAAAAAGAAAGCCCTACTTTTCTTAAACTGTGTATTACTTATCTAGTGAATTCAAAAGGCCTTGCGATTTAAGTTTAACAAGATGTTGCAATTTTGAATGAATGTTATTTAGAATTTAATACTCTCTGGTAGGTGTGATTTTTTTAATGAGTTTACCCCAAGCAGGAGGTATTGCTTTATACTTCACCACTAATCAGAAGAACAATTTTAATAATTTCCTTAATGTTTTATCCCTTTTTGATATATATTATATATACTATATCCCAAATTATAATAATAGATATATTTCTTATATAAGGTTAATTACACAATTTCAGTGATTTTGTTGGCTGCTGTTACCTCATTAAAAAGTTGTTGTATGTAACCATGAAACCTATGTAGTTTTTTTTTTAGGAATTTAGGAAAATTAAGTTTAAAAAAAAACACCTGCCAAACAAGAAGCACCTTAATAAGATTTAATTACCCTCAGTATAGGTGTGGTTTTTAGGTTAAAGAATTTCTGAATTTAGTCCAAACTGCAAATTCTAGCTTTTTGACCTAGATTAATTTAATCCTTAAATTTGACAGCAATACACCAAACTACATTACGACCTGGGATTCAGTAAGATCAATATATAACGGAGATAGCTGCATAGTTTGATGAAAATCCAAGTTGATTTGAAAAAGATATAAAACAAATTTAAAGATGACTATCTGAATTTAGTCCGAACTGCAAATTCTAGTTTTTTTTTACCTAGATTAATTTAATCCTTAAATTTGACAGCAATACACCAAACTACATAACGACCTGGGATTCAGTAAGATCAATATATAACTGAGATAGCTGTATAGTTTTTTTTGAAAAGCCAAGTTAATTTGAAAAAGAAATAAACAAATTTAAAGTTGACTATCTGAATTCAGTGTGAACTGAAACTTCTAGCTTTTTTTACCTATTAATCAAATCCTCAAACCTGACAGCAATAAATCAAACTACCAAACAACCTGGCATTCTGTATTCTGTATAATTGAGATAACTGTAGAGTTTTATGAAAATCCAAGTTGATTTGAAAAAGTTATAGAAATCATTAAAGATGACTATCTGAATTTAATCAAATTTTTTTTTACCTATTAATTAAATTCTTTAATTTCACAGCAATGAACCAAACTACCAAATAAACTGGAATTTTGTTAGATCTATATTTAATTTAGTTAGATGGGTTGATTCAGACCAGTCAAGACTAAATTTGATGGTCAAGACTAGTCGAGACAGGTCGAGACAGGTCGAGACAGGTCCAGATTGGTCAAGACTGGTCGAGACTGAGTCGAGACAGGTTGAGACTGGTCGAGACAGGTCAAGACTGGTCGAGACTGGTCGAGCCTTGATCGAGACCATTTCATACTGCATCAAGATCATCAAGTACTTAATCAGACTTATTATGTAAAGTTGAGACCAAAGTCGAGTACAGTTAAGTACTGTCGAGACAATGTCGAGACTAGTCGAGTAAAATCTGTGCTCGATTTTACTGGTCGAGCACAAAATGTTGTCTTATCAGACTCTGAGCAGTTTGTAGTGATATGTATATTTGAATGTATGCTTCCTTTAATACTATATGTATGTTTTTTAAATGTTTTTGCGCCATTATTACTACTATTATTATATTAATGAACTTGTTATTATTATAGTAGTACTCCATAGATTTCATACTGTTAAACCATAGTATTTTATTAATTATGCTTATTTATTTCACTTTCTTGATTATTATGCCACAAGGTACATATCAAAAGTAAAATCACAAAAATACCGAACTCAAAACGGAAAGTCTCTAATCAAATGGCAAAATCAAAAGCTCAAGCACATCAAATGAATGGATAACAACTGTCATATTCCTGACTTGGTACAGGCATTTTCTTATGTAGAAAATGCATATATGTTAATACCTGTAAATTCAGGAAGAAAAAATCAATTATAAAAAAAATAATCCAATTGTTGGAAACACAAATTACAGTCTTAAAATTGCTTGGTTTGAAGTGTTTACGATGGTTCGAACATGTCTCTTTGGAACGTTTTATTCATAATTCATTGCTGAAACAGGGCCCTAGGTAGCTTAAACTGGATTGTGACGTCATGAAAAAGTTGTGTAATTTCGGAACTTATCTGGATTGAAATAAATAACAATAAGGTATATAGACTCAAGACAATTAGATGATAAGAGCTGACCATATAAAATAAAACTATCGTTCTCTATCTTTACTACATTCTGTGTGAGATGAATATAATGTATCTAGCCTTAATAAAAATTGTATCTTAATAAATTTTGGAGATTTCTACATATTTAAATTAAATTATTGTAAGATTTTTCTTAAACATGATGTCTTTGATCAATTATCACACCATAACGATTAACATATCATAACTTCAATTGAGCTGTAGTCTTAGGTCGTTCTAAAATTCATACTTACCTTGAAGCTGCCTCTCCTTAACCCATTTAGGCTGTTTTGTTTGTACTTCTTTTATATATGATATCAGTACGTCTTCAACCATCGCGTTAATGTGTCCACAACTGTCCCATGCGTGGGCTTTACACGTTTTATGGTATCGTAGATCACACTTAAAAGCAAGAATGATTTAACTATTAAAAAAGAGGCGATTAAATGGAGGCAATCATTTTTTTTTAGTGTATAGATAGATTTTACTCGAAAATCGATGTGTTTTGTTTGATAAATTTCCGTGTTTATGATAGGTAACAAACTTTGTTTGTTAGGGTAATCATTAGAGATTATACGAAGCCGTTAACATTAGACAATGCTAAGAACGTTTTCTCCAATTTTACGTGCTTTTTTATACACATGGAGATCTCTTTTGAAAGAATTATATCAATAATATTTCAGAAAATAAGAGAGACAGATGCATTGTTTTTTCGTTTTTTTAGTTCCGTGGATCATGTTAAAGGTGTATGCAATTCGGTGACATAATCTATATTTTTTACTATGACCCTAAATGGTGTGTGTGTGTGTGTGTGTTAACAAACCCAATTTAAATAAAGACAAGAGACATAAATTGCCGATCTTAAGAGTATTCGCAGTAACTGAAAGCTGTTTCAAAATCGATAACAACTTATGAATAAATCGTGTTTCCCATACTTAATTAAGTATCAATCAGTACACATGAGAAACGCATGATCTTGTCCATGAGCATTTTTTATGTCTGCATACAGAATCTTCAATGTTATGCATTCGAACCAGAGATGTATGTTTCGTCGTTATTTTTTAATCCAGTGGTTGTTTTAAACACCCATTTCGAAATGCAGGACATTACTTTGACTGACCTTTATATTTTCTCCCGTTGACCTAATACATTCATTCGTATATATTTCGGCACAAAACCAAAAGAATGTGAACGACACTTTTTACTTATCATGCGTCCGAAGCGCTTTTCTGAATTTAACTTCATCAGGAACGCCGAATATTTGAAAGGCAAAGATGTATAAGAACCGAAACATTTGATGATCTATATGACCAAAATGGACCTAAAGTAATAACCAAATCGATCTGAGGTCAACTTTCCCTGATGGAATTGAAACTTTATTTTTTTTTACTAATTTCTACATTTATAAACTGACAATTAAATAATATGAAAACACCAGTTCCGTTTAAAAGCAATTTATTAAGATGAACACAATAGGTGTAGCATATACAAACACGAACAAGTTATATAAAATACGAGAAATAAATAAGAGATTACTCTTGCAAACATTTTACCTGCATAATGCCGAATGCATTATTATTATCTCCATAGCCTTTGGTTTTATACAACAATTTACCTGCACGAGACTCCCTGCTTGCAATGGCCGCTATCACGGCTGGTGATATACCTGAGAAGGGAAATAAAAATACTTATAAACAAGAGGTCCTAAAGAGCCTGTGTCGCTCACCTAGGGTTATATTCATCTTCAACAATGGACACCATCAAACCTTGTGGACTAAAACAGAATTCATGACAAAAACTCCAATGTTGACTTATCTGAAGATCTAGTTTTGCTGATCATTTTGCTATTTTAAAGGGGCAATATATCTATAATAGTTTTCAAGATAAGACACAGAACACCAAAAATGGATAGAAATCATCATCAAAGAGCAATTGCTCCAATAATGAGTGAATGGACGATTTCGACAAAACATATTTGTAGATCTTGTCTTGCTGATCATTTTCGTTTATTTAAATTTTCATCTGTCTATTATAGTTTCTAGATATTTGACAAAAAACACAAAAAATTGGGTAAAATTCGTTATTAAAAGAGATGCTAAAGATACAAGAGGGACCTTCAAACTCATAAGTCGAAAATAAAATGACAACGCCATGGCTCAAAAGGAAAGAGACAAACAGACAAACAACAGTACACCAAACACAACAGTACATACGGAATGTGTTTTTCTCGTTGTTGAAGGCCGTATGGTTGCCTATAAATGCTTACATCTACTTCATTTTAAATTGGTGGATAGCTGTCTCATTGGCAATCATACCATATCTCCTTATTTTTATATAGAAACTAAAAACTTAGCAAAACGAACTCCACAAAAAAACTGGGGGTGATCAAAGGGTAACAACTCCAATAAGTGGTCGTCAAACAATTTCAACCTGGTTGACTTATTTGTAGATGCTGATATGTTATGCTTTTTTTAGAGTTGCTATCTATCTTTTATAGTTTTTCAGATATTAGTCAAAAACGCAAAAATTGTAAAAATTGTCATTAAAGGACAATAACTTCAATAAAGGGTCGACTGACGATCTAAATAATTTAAGTTATTGGTAAGTATGGTCTTGCTGGTCATTTTTGCTAATTTAAGTTTCTATCTACCTATTATTGTTTTTTTTTCAGATTTTAGACAAAACGGCAAAAGTTTGATAAAAAATATCATTAAAGGGCAACAATTCCAATAAGGAGTCATCTTACTATATCAAACATGTCAACTTATATGTTAATCTTGTCTTGTTGATCATTTGTGCTCTCTCTCTCTCTCTCTCTCTCTCTCTCTCTCTCTCTCTCTCTCTCTCTCTTTTAATTTTCTAGGTAATAGGCAAAAATGAAAATAATAGTAAAATTCGTCAGTAAATATTAATAACTCGTATAAGAAGTCGTCTGACAGTTTAAATATAAAAAGACAATATGTAGGTCATTTCATTTCTGCCTATGTCAGATTTTCTTTATTTATAGCAGTTTTCAAAATAATAGACAAAACTTGCATTTTACCCCTATGTTCTATTTTTTAGCCATGTCGGCCATGTTAGTTGGTAGTCGGGGTCATCGGACACATCTTTTAAACAAGATACCCTAGTGATAATTGTGGCCAAAATTGGTTAATTTTGGGCAAGAGGTCTCAGAGGAGAAGATTTTTGTAAAAGCTAACGACTACGAGGACGGATGCGAACGCCAAATGATTAGAAAAGCTCACTTGAACCTTTGGGCCAGGTGAGCTTTAAAGGATATCATGTTGAAGACTGAATTCATAATGGGTTATATGACAGTTGTTAACCATCGTTTGATGTGTTTGAGCTTTTGATTTTGCCATTTGATAAGGGACTTTCCGTTTTTGAATTTTCCTCGGAGTTCGGTATTTTTGTTATTTTACTTTTTTCTTGACGCATCTTATAGAGATTACTATATGCCATAACGGTTTTGGAGAAAATATTATTGTATTTTGATTTGATATCTATATCGAATTTTTTTTTGTTGCCAAAAGCTTTTGTTCAGGAAAGGTTTCAAGTGTCCCTTTCGTAACATTTGAAATATAAAAAAAAAGACTTAAAATGTCATTGAATATGTATTAAAAGTTCAATAAGTTGTCTAATTATTTTGTGGTTAACATTTGTATGTAAATGCCGCCAGTTTGACTGACTGTTTTAGAACCACATCAATCTGATTAACATACAGATCCCGTGTCTAAGCTTCGATTACAAGGATCTGAAAACACTACGTTTCACATTCTGTTCTGGTAATTATTACATCAGTCGATGACATTTCCGCCTTAAAAATTTTGAAGGTGTGTATTAAACCAAAACAGAGTATCTCAAAACAGTCTATGAAACAGAAAGTAAAACAGAGCGTTTTCAGATCCACGCAAGCAAAGCTTGGATATGGGATCTGTAATCAATCAGATCGAAACCAAATAAATCCAATGTAAATTTAATTTTGGGCCGTCTGAAACTTTGCTTTTTGTGTGGTTATTGCTCTGCATGTACTGAATTTGTGTCATGAATGGATGCCCAAATACCCTTTGTTTTCTATTAAATCGTTAATATCATTCTAAACGATGAACTATCTCATTTATAATCGTGCAAACGTACTAGTATAGACATGTTTATACTATAAACACTTGATTTTAATAAAACGAAACAGGAAATCAATGCAACATGCTTGGCTTATCAACTTTGAGAACTTATGATAGTCAATTTTAACCCCTTAAACAAAGGTAAGTAGACGAGATGCATATTTACAATTATCCTTTGCATTTGATCCAGTGTGAAAGTTATGGTTTTGACCACGTTATGGTAACAGTTATGTCTGTTTACATATCATATACCCATGTTAGCTTGAGATTAGGGAATCTACTATGTTTCATATCTTGATATTTCCTATTGACACACATTGTAAATTTCGAATTTTTTTGCAGTAATATGCCCTCTGCTATATCTCAGTTAATACGTTACGCTCGTGTAAATTCACGCTTCACGTTGAAAGGACTACCCTAACAAGGATGCGCTCCTTAGACAAATATTACTTCAACAGAGTTGTGAGGTAGAACGGCTAAAGTCGACACTGTATAACTTTTACGGTCACCCTCACGAAATTGTTAAGTGATACGATGTGCTGGTGTCTTAATTCACTAGAGACATGTTTGTGCGGTCTCAGATCTTTAGATACCAATGTAGTCGTCTGATCTTGAATTCAACATATTGTGTCATATGCCCGATTTTGACATTATGCCCTAATGTGTATACGAATGGCGGGTGGTGCACGCATAGCAGAAGATGCAAACCCTAGTCGACGCAACCGGTCTCACTTATTTTTGAGTTCATGTCATTCCCTCATGTTTTGTTTGTAACCTTTATTTGCCTCTTTTTAATCGATTTATGAGATTTCGTTTTCATTTTTGGACCGATAAGACATTTTGCAAGGTTTGGATTTTCCAATATTATGGATTTAATCAACTCAGAAGAGACATTTATTATCGAAATGCGCATTTAATGCAGTAATGTTAGTATCGTTAATAAATTTTTCAGAACTGGATAAAGTCCTTCGAGATAAAATCTTTCGAGGAAGATAAAGCCAGGTGTCAAAAAAGCCTACAGAAATGTAGTCTTGTCGTTCATAAATGAAATAAGGGCTCGGAATAAATATACTGTGTCTCCCTATTGGCAAACTTGGTATGTTATCATGTAAAAGAACATCATCAACGTTAAAAATTAAAAACATAAAGCAGTGTCTTTCTGTTGTAAGGCATTAGGGATGGATATGTACACTGCCACGTCCTGTCTGTGTTTTTTTTTATGTTCTTTTAATTTGTATCGATCTTATGAGTTGAGCCTTTTTCAACTGATTTTTATAGTTTGCTCTTATGTTGTGCTGTTACACCAATGTCTCAGGTTAGGGGAGGGTTGAGCGCTCACAAACATGTTTAACCCCGCCACATTCTTTATGTGCCTGTCCCAAGTTAGGAGGCTGTAAATCAGTGGTTGTCGTTGGTTCATGTCTGTCATATTTTTTTTTCCGTAAATTGTTTTGTTACAAATTAGACACGTAAGTTTTCTCAGTTGAGTTGTTTCATATTTTTCTTGTCGGGGTATTTTATAGCCGACTATACGGTATATGTTTTTGTCATTGTTGAAGGCCGTACGGTAGCCTATAATTGTTAACATCCACTTCATTTGAACCTTGGTGGATAGTTGTCTCATTGGCAATCATATGAAATCTCCTAACTTTTATATAGGAATGATGTAAATGATTTTTTTCCTTGTCCAACGGAATATCATATAGACTTTGTAGAACTATCACGTTACATGAACTTAACCCAAACATGTCTTAGCATCAGAGTAAATGCTAAATTATCAACGGCGAAATGTTCAAAATGTCCATATCAGAAGGCAATTTCAAGATATAAAATATTGCAATACAACATGAGAGTAAACACATGAATTTTAGAAAATTATTCAAAATATCATTTAACAGATTTATGGTTGATGTGTTCCCCTCGATTTTAGTATGTAATCCGGATTTGTTTTCTCTCAATCGATTTGTGACTTTTCAACAGCGGTATACTACTGTTGCCTTAATATACAACGTCATTATTACTTCGTCAAGATTTTATTCGTTTGAGCTATTTCACGTTTTATAATTATATATCTTATATGTTTAATAGTTTAAAGGGGCACTAGCTACGAGATATATAAAAAAATTAAATAATGAATTGTTTTGTTCAATCACTAATGAAAGTGAAATAGTGAAATAATCATTCGCTTTTAGCACCCAGTATGGTTCAATTTTGTCAAAATAAGCTAAGAAACATCGATGATGAATTATTCACTTGTAAGTGAATAACTCGACCTCATTGAATCCGTATTCATATGTGAACTTCAATTTAACTCATTAGCTAGAGATGGATTACGCATGATTTATGCGAGTTCGGTTATTAAAAGAAAAGAATGTCAACATTGAAAGTGAAACATAGGTAAATCATTTGATTGACTGATTGGATCCACAAAAACTCATTCTTATACAGGTAAGATAAAAAATTATTTTTTAACCCATAACATGAAATCAAACTGACATAGAAAAATCCAATTGCACGAGGTCGCTATCTACTTATAATTATGTTTATGTTTATGTCGTGTTTGGTGACCGTCGGTAGTTTTCGGAGGTCATCTCGATAGTTAATTAGATGGCGTCTAGACTAAAATACACACGAAATTCTGATATATATATATTCTACATATGCATTGTTAACTGTTTATTAAAGACTTATTATAATTTGGATATGTGTTTTAGTATGTTTTAAATAAAATATGAGAATTTGAGTCAAATCGGTGAACATGATTTTGACAGCTAATGCCCCTTTAAAACATAATGTTAGACATTCAATCAGTGGCGGTAACATTGTTTGTTTTGACTGCATAACTGATAATACTCACAATTGCAGGCACCAGCTTTTTTATAACAATCCATTCGTTTAAGGATTTCCATATAATCCTGCTTAACTGCTTCTTGAGACTTAGTTTTGTCTAAAATGAACGACAAATAAAAATGAATGCTTATGCCGTAGAGGATTTAAATCATTAATAAAAACTGAATTTCTAACGTTCATTACTTTGTCATCAGGAGATTTTCACATATACAGACTATATGTTAAATATGAAAAAATGAAATAGAGTTTAGTGTCAATGAGACACAAGAGCACACACGAAAAATGGAAGTGGAAAAAAGGAATTTCTTGTTTGTAGGTCTACCCTCTATCATTCGTGTGCCCGGTGATATTCGGGATGAAACGAACGTTTGTATCAAAATTGATTCTAAGAGCTTCATGCCAGGGCTTTCGTTCATTTTAATAGTACTGAATAATGTTCGTAATGATATTGAATAATGTTGGATATGAAGATGTTTTCATGCCTTGGTAATATATTTTTCTCGAGATTTTCTTTTTTAGAAATGATGATAGTTGTACTTAAAGTGCCTTGACTTGTTATCAATTTTTGTCTGGACCTTCTCTTGTAGAGTGAAAGTCATGAGCTGTCGTAGTATAATTGGGATTAATAAATACGAAGTTCATTCTTATCACCAGCACTGTAGTCGGCACTTCTGTGTTGACATGAAATATCATTTATATGGTCGTTTTATAGATTAACTGTTAACAGAACTTTAGTTCAAAATGCTTAGGATTTTTTACCCTAGGAAAAGATCACCAACGCTGGATTTGGCAAACCTTTTAAAATTTAGGGTCGTCGATGCTCTTAAACTTCGTATTGTATTGGGCATTTGCAGTTTTGAATTCGAGCGTCAATTATAAGTCGCGTTTTTGTAGACGCGAGTCGTCTGGCGTAGTCAAATTGATGCATGAAATATGCATGTTATCGTTGGTGAGTTTTATGCGATGATTTCAAGACTTTTGGTCATAAAAAAAAATCGCGTAAACCAATACCTGTCATACCAATACAACTGTCCCTTCATTTTTTTAAGTTATCACCATATGAATCAATAAAAGTTCAAGTTATCATTATGTTAAACATTATTTCCGACGTCTGTAAGTTACTGTTTTGAATTAATTTGTGTATCCTTAGGCATAAGATCTATGTTAAATTATTTCAGTGTGATCGTCAGTTGTGTCGGTACAATTATATAATGTTTACATTGAAAAAAAGCCATATTTTCTCATTTAAATCTGATTTTCTTTGAGGTTGGATGAGATTTTGCTTCTGACAGTCCACCAACACTAGTATTGCCAAAGTCGCAATAAATTAAACCCAAGCTTGTTCTTTAATGAATTAATATCAAATTAAATCAATTACGAAGTTGATTATAAACATTAAATTACCATCAATGGCTGAATGTAGGCTACTCTCAAGTTTAGTAATAAAGCATAAGATAACGTACCATCTTGTTTCTATCCCATCCGCCTCGGTTAGAGAAACCATAGTGTGATAAACAGTAAATTAAACTAGAGGCTTTTAGAGCTTGTGTCGCTCACATTGGTCTATATGCATATTCAACAAAGGACACTCTCCAACATTGTAGACGAGAACAGAATTAATGACAAAAATCTCTTGTTTTTTTTTATCTTATATTGCTGATCATTGAAGTCTGTTTAGTTTCTCTCTATCTTATTTATATTTTGCTCCAAACACGAAAGAGGGTAAAAAAAAATCTTTATTTAAGGGCAATAACTCCTATAAAGAGTAACAGTCTACTAATTATATCGGCAAAATTTGACTTGATAGTAGGTCTTGTCTTGCTTATCATTTTTTATTATTCAAGTTTCTATCTATCTATTATAATTTTTATCATATAAGGCAAAACGCAAACAAAATTGTAAAAATCGTCATTTAAGGGCAATAACTCCAATAAGGATTCTTCGGACAATTTTCGCTATTTGTCTTAATTGTCTTAGTTGTAGATCTTGTCTTGCTGATCATTTTTGTTTATCTAAGTTTCTTTCTATCTATTATAAGTTTTAAGATATAAGACAAAAACGCAAAAAAAAAAATTGAACAAATCGTCTTCAAAAGGCAATAACTCTAATAAGGAGTCAACTGACGATTTCAACCAAAAGACTTATTTGTAGAAAATAAACTCATCAGAACTTATCCTTCTGATCATTTTTGCAATTTAAAATTTCTCTCTATCTACTATGCATTTCAAGATAATAGGCAAAAATGAAAAAAAAGTGGTAAAATTTGTCATTTAAGGGCAATAACTCCTAAAGGAAATCGTCTGACAGTTTTGACGTATATGGACAATTGGTAGAGCTCAACATTATGATTTTAACATCCTTTACGATTTCCTCTATTTATAATGGTTATCAGGATAACAGACAAAACTTGCATTTTACCCAATATGTTCTATTTTTAGCCACGTCGGCTATTTTTGTTGGCAGGTGGGTTCATCGGACACATTTTTTAAACTAAATACCCTAATGATGATTGTGGCCAAGTTTGATTCTATTTGGCCCAGTAGTTTCAGAGGAGAAGATTTTTGTAAAAGATTACAAAAATTTACGAAAAATTGTTAAAAATGACTATAAAGGGTAATAACTCCTTAAGGAGTCAATTGACAATTTTGGTCAAGTCAACTTATTTGTCGATCTTACCTTGCTGAACATTATTGTTGTTTACAGTTTATCTCTATCTATAATAATATTCAAGATAATAACCAAAAACTGCAAAATTTCCTTAAAATTACCAATTCAGGGGCACCAACCCAACAACAGGTTGTCTGATTCGTCTGAAAAGTTTAGGGCAGATAGATCTTAACCCGATGAACATTTTAACTCATGTCAGATTTGCTGTAAATGATTCAGTTTCAGAGATATAAGCTAAATAAAGGCAACAGTAGTATACCGCTGTTCGAAATTCAATTTGAGAAAAAAAAAAATCCGGGTTACAAACTAAAACTGAGGGAAACACATCAAATATAAGAGGAGAACAAAGACACAACAGAAACACTAAAATGCAACACACACAGAAACGAACTATAAGATAACAATAGCCATTTTCCTGACTTGATACAGGACATTTTAAGAAAAAATGGTGGGTTGAACCTGGTTTTGTGGCTAGCCAATGCTAAATGCTTTAGTTTCAGAGATATAAACCAAAAACTGCATTTTACCCCTACGTTCTATTTTTAGTCACAGCGGCCATGTTGGTTGGTAGACGGGGTCGTCGGATACATTTGTTAAACTAGATACCCTAATAATGAGTGTGACCAAGTTTGGTTAAATTTGGCCCAGTAGTTTCAGAGGAGAAGATTTTTGTAAAAGTTAACGGTCGACGACGGACGACGACGGACGACGGACGCCAATTGATGAGAAAAGGTTACTTGGCCCATAGGGGCAGGTTAGCATAAAAAGGATATTCATGCCAACACATAAATGATGACTACTTTGCTGGTGATACTCTCGGGGATAAAATGTCCACCAGCATTAGTATCTACCCAGTGGCAGTAAAAACTTAACAAAATCAGAACAGTCGAATAATTGTTTTATATTTGAATACTTTCTTATATCTTTTAAAATAAGATGCCTTAGATAAATAGCATATACACTAAATGAGTGATACATTTTTATCTTGTGGATTTGAGTCTGTTTCTAGATTGTACAAACACGATTTGTGTAGATAATACTTAGGACGGTTTTGTTTGAATAGAACGAAAACGAAATGGCTGAATTATGCCAAAAAGAATGAAAATGATTTAAACATATTATAGTTAAAATGCAAATACGTTAACTAAAATATCATTTTTGATAAAATATAAATATGTTATGATCGTATCTTACCCCATTCATTACTATTCGTCTTACTCCTCCTTCCTTTTGGTTTAAGACGCATTACATTTCCATAACAATCATAACCTGATAAATGAAGGATTTGAATAATAAATATTCTCAAAGAAGTTTCAATTTGAAGCTAACATTTTTTGGGGCTGAGAAACTCCTCGTATCCTAAAGAGGATAATCAAGTTTATGCCATTTTGCTCATTGGTGAAGGCCGAACTGTGATCAATAGTTGATTACATTCACGCCATTTCGACTCTGGAAGATATTTTTTTATATTGGCATGCATACCACATCTCGAATGTTAATATTAAAAGTATTATCTATCACCGTGTAGAACGCCACATGCGGGGTGTTGGCTATGTTTGACACGGGGTGGTGGTTTTGAAGCGGAGAATAAGCGATCAAGGTAAGTAAAAGTATCAAAATTTCTTTTTTGAGAATTGTAAGAACCAAATAATGTATTGCACTGAAGGAAACGAACCATGATTTATTTCCAACGAGCAGAAGCAGACGTTTCCGGTGCTCCGTTTTCGCAAACACCTCCCCTAGTTTTCCGTTTTGCAGATTTTGAGACTTCATATGAAAGTTTCGGGACAAAAAAACTACTTTTGGCGATTTTTTTCCGTATGATTTAGATAGAAATTAATTCCTATCATAGAATTTAACAAAATACCAGCTTCTAAGTCAAAGTTTGTTGTTTTTAAAGTAAATGTTTCATCGAAATGTAAGGTGTCGCTGAGGGTATCAGATTTTGCGTCTCAAGTTGGTGAGGCATTTATTAAAACAAGGATAGATTTTCCTATAATTCGGTCTTAATCTGATAGTTAGTAATTCAAACACACATACTCTATTATGATAACTCATTACAGATTTTAGGTATTTCATTTGACCCATATTTTAGTTGTTTAATGAATGTGCATGTTTAATGTTAGAAATAGAGAAAAAGCCTCAAAGTGTTTTGTTTTATACCTGAACATGATTTGTTTTCCTTTCCAGTTACTATCATGGTGATGAAGAAGTCACGGCAATGGCTTAATTCACCCAAACATGGGACAAAATCACAGAGCAGACCTCTGTATAAGATTTGTCCGAAGCAGAACCCAACAACACCTACACTTCATCAAATTTCTTCACCAGTTTCCACTTCACAGTACACCGCAAAAATGACTTATTACGAAACGAATTTCGCTTACTCACTCCATATAAATACACACCCGCATCTGTATTTACAACTAAGAACAAAAAAACTTAAATAAGACCCGGAGACGATACCTTTAATAATTTTAAAACCGCATTTTTTTATATTTCCTTCCGTGCAATACATTATTTGGTATAACAATTTTCAAAATATAAATTTCGATACTTAAATTACCTTGATCGCTTATTCTTCGGTTCAAAACCACAACCCCGTGTTAAACATAGCCAACAGCCCGCATTTGGCGTTCAACACGTTGGCTATGAGACTCTAGCAGTACTTCATTTCAGGAGTTGAGAGAAAAAGAACTGATGCATGGATTTAGATATTTGAATATATAAACGATTAATGCTATATTTTCAGCTTGTTATCTCCCACTGGAGTGAGAAACGAGGAATATAGATTAGCTGATGATCCGTCCATCCAGAATCGCTAACGCTTCTAAAAAAATGTAGTTTAAAGGTTTACCTAATTAACATCTTGGAAGAGTAAATGAGTTAAAGCCGATCTCCAATGTTTTTTAGAGTTGTGTCCTTTGGAAATGTAAATACTATAAATAATCATTGTAATCGCTCTAATTGCATAATTTCTCAGTCAGTTGAATTAATGATTCTCATTTTTATATGACAAAGTTTGTCGTCGGCAATATCTCGGACGACCTTGCAATACATAGTTGCTCAGATATTTGTGCGGTAGAAATATACCTTTGAAAGGTAAAGATGTGGAAAATCTGCAATGTAGGCCCAGGCATACACTCACATTTACAGTTCTTGTTGGAGTAAAATGCAATTTATGTAAAAAAAGTTTCCATCAGCAATACCTCGAATAAGTTCAAAAATCTGAGTTTACCGAATTTTATTGTATGAGATGTGCTATTAGAAATATACAACATATTCTAAAAATCAATTTTGTAAGCCCTCTTATTCAGTTTTAATCGATTTTAATGTGAATGTTTTACATTTACATTTTGAAAATCAGTGAGAATCGATTTATCAACGCGTGTATGATTGAAATAAAAATAAAAATGGAACATTTTAGTATAAATGTGAAAAATATTTCGTACTCTGAATTCATTTGTTGGTCAATTTGTATGTATAAAGACTTGGGACAGCCATATAAAGAATATGGTGGGGCCTTGCAAATTAGTGAGTGCCAAACCCTCCCCTATATCTCGGACAGTTGTGCAACAGAACAAACTTGAGAAAACAATTGGAAATGACTTGACCTACGAGTTGACACAAAGCACAAACACCAACTCACAAATAGACAAAAAAAAGCATGTTTTTCAATAACTGAAATTAGTTCAAGCCAATTAATATCTAATAAATAATCACTTACGTCCTTTTTCTACTGGACACATTGATTTCTAAAAAGGAAATAAGTATATGCACATCTAACAATTACAAATAGTCTATTATAATATGACATTCTTCAACTGCTTTGAGTACCCACCCGTGGTGAAATATGAATATATTGATATGTCAGCTGATCAAGGATTATTTTTGGCTGTTCCAATCTTACTCCAACGTCGCTGTCTCTTGATGAATGAAATACCCTAGATCAGATGGTGTAAATGACTCATTGAAAGATGACGTAAGAATATAAAAATTCTACGGGAAAATGCACGCTATTGCTCGAGGTAAAATATTTAGCACGAAGGCCCAACCCGTGGTAAAATCACGATAAATTCAAGCCCACATGACATATTTCTTAACTTTAATCTAACTGAAGGGAATTAATTACACACTTTTGTCTCTTTAAAATGTTTGTAACATATTCTACCTCGTGATGTAAGAATACACGGAATGGCAAAAAGGACATGTATGGAAAATACCAAGACTGTACAATAGATATTTTTTCTATTATTACTGTATCAATATTGAAACTTATTTCATTAAGCGGAAACTGTTGCAATTGAATCTGTCATCTTCCATTACATTGTTAAACTATCTTCTAAGTAGTATTTAATAGACATGTGGACTTTATGAAGGTTGGTTCTATGCATTTTTAAGGTACGATTGTGTAATGAATGAGGTACGAATGAGGGTCGGTTGAAAACTTTACGACAAAAGAGATGATTTCAGCTTCCCAATTGTGAACTTTCCATTTCTATGTAGCAACATTCCAGCAGCGCCTGCATACGGAGTATATATCTCCCAATTGATACGATATTCCCGTATTTCCTATCATGATTTCCTTGATAGAGGATTGCTGCTCACAAGGAAGCTATTAAACCAAGAGTTCCAAATGGTGAAGCTGAAATCATCCCTTCGTAAATTTTACGGACGCCATCACGAGTTGGTTGACCGTTATGGAATAACCATTTCACAGATGATATCGGATATGTTCCTTATGTCGTAACTACAATACCCTTCCCTTTTCACAAATGTGACCTACCGAATTAGACTATTTACCGGATTTGTAATAACATAAGCAACACGACGGGTGCCACATGTGGAGCAGGATCTGCTTACCCTTCCGGAGCACCTGAGATCACCCCCAGGTTTTGGTGGGGTTCGTGTTGCTAAGTCTTTAGTTTTCTAGGTTGTGTCAACTGTACTATTATTTGTCTGTTTGTCTTTTTATTTTTGGCCATGGCGTTGTCAGTTTGTTTTCGATCTGTGAGTTTGACTGTCCCTCTGGTATCTTTTGTCCCTCTTTTGTGTAAAAGATATTCATAGCAAAATAAAAAAAATCCATTTTGTTCATGACTTGTTTGGCTAGAAAGACTTACATGAGGACTTGAACTGGGTTCCTGCTTTGCACACCCATCTTTAGAAATTTCAATGGATGATCTTCTTTTTCTTCGTCTAGTTGGCTGGTTGTCTACTGTCTGATGCACTGTTGTATTTCTAGTACTATGTATAATCAAAATGATAAATTTATCACTGCCTAGTAATTTTCAGTTTTTTCGAATACTGTTTTTTTTTTTTATTTTCTAAAGAGGGTATATATAGACATTTTGGACAGTGATATAACAAAATTAGGACACAGTTTCTGTACTTTATATTTTATAATCTGAATCACACACGTCAGTGTATAGGTTATTATTCCATCACTTCATTAACCGATATAACAGTTAAAGGACTATTAGATAACCTGAAATACACGAAACTAGCTTTTCTAATAAGTATCCAATAAATTAGGACTGTACAACACTGAAAGCAGTTAACAAGGCAAATTACACATTGATTGAGAGATAACTTTGCCCTCCAGCATCACTGAAGAGACATTAATTGTCGAAATGCGCATCTGGTTCAGTAATTATATTGTAACTACTGCTTGGTCGATACCTCTGCTGGTGAAATGTTCTCCCCGAGGGTATCACCAGCCATGTAGCCAGTACTTCGGTTTTGTCACGAAAATACGAATATTGTTTTATTAAAAGATACTGTTCTAAAATGTCGAATATTTTTTTAATTAAGGAATGCCTGTCCTTCATGCATAGCTCTGATTCTTAGTCTGAGTTTGGCATTAAGGTTTAGTCGTTTTGGTTTAATCAGCTTTTCAACGTTTGTATTAGGTTTTAGACTTTCAAATAAAATTCAATTTCGAGCATCATTGAGGGAACATTAATTGACGGAATCAGCATTAAAATCGGTACCGTTAATGTTATTTGTAACTGTTCACAGCAATAAAGAAAAACAACGGATACTAAGTTGAGTATGAGGAAGAAAATGGAACACCCTTTCATCTATTCTTTATTGTTCCCTTCTGAGGAAAATATACTATTACTTAACAGTGCCTTATTATTTGTTAATAAACGGTCAGTGTTTTGTTAGAATTCGGACATTAAAATAATTTATAAAAATGTAAAAACTTATCTCATTTTAAAGCTTAAGTTAAATTTAATAGAAGCTTTGCGTGTTTTGCAAATATGAAACTAGTTGGTAAAATATTTATTCCTGTTACTAATTATTTTAATTTTAGGTCATAAGAAAAATACACTTACTCTGTTGTCACTGACTCGTGCAAGAACTTCATCACAGACATTTTGTCATATCTATTTTCCACACTATCAATCCATGAAGATAAAGTACCTTGTCGTTTATACCTGAAATTTTAACATCAGACTAGATTTCTTTTGTTTCCGTTCATATGTTAGTGTAATATAGCAAAGTAGTAAAAAATGTAGTACAAAGTTTTCAGTACCTAATTAAATATCAGTGATAGATAACGATTAGCAATACATGGAAAAGACAACAGGAATAATTCTTAAAGATTCGGAAAGTATAACAGACCAAATCAACCACCAGCAACCCATTTTTCCCTCTGTCAGTCTTATCATCAAGAATCAAATTTTTAATTACTTTACTATCTTTTTCCATTGCCCAACTATGGGGTTAATAAGTTTGCTAACTTTCATACTACCTTATAAATGGTGTCCATGGAACTTCCAAATGGCTTGGAAGATACTTGTTGTTAATGTCGACAATTACTATATCAAGTGCTGAAAGTACTAGTTTCTGTCCGAGATAAAGTATTTCGTTTTTTGCTTTTTGACAAAACGTGCAGCCTGCAAAAAATAGTTATCATTTTATGAATAAGCAGATGTGATATGATTACCAATGAGAAAAATATCTAACAGTTTCTAAATGAAGTGGATTAATAACAGGTCACTATACGACCTTCAACAATGTGCAAAACCCAGAGAGACAGCTATGGACCCCCTGACATGACACAATTTGAAACAATACATACGACAAAACTAACGGTGTAATTAGTTACAAAACAATACACGAATAACAAAGGCGACAGGTAGCAATTTACGACAACATCTGAATAGCAGGCTAATCACTTGAGACAAGCACATATAAAATATGGCGAGGTTAGTCAAGTTTGTGACCTCTCATCCCCCACCTAACCTTGGACAGAGGTATAAAAAGGCAAAATGATAAAACAAAAACTGTAAAAATCAGTTAGAAATGGCTTGACTCATTATATTGATACGAAGCACAAAACATAACTAACATAAAGAAAAAAGAAACAACGTACCGATATAAGAGTACTCCCAGCTACTGAAATCCAGTTCAAAAACAAAAACAACTAATGAATAAATCATCTTCTCCCAGACTTAATTTATTATAAATCATTACATATCGAAAAGTATAATAAAAAAAATACCGAACTCTGAGGAAAATTCAAAACAGAAAGTCCGTAATCAAATGTCAAAATCAAAAGCTCAAACACATCAAACGAATGGATAACAACTGTCATATTCCTGACTTGGTACAGGCATTTTCTGATGTAGAAAATGGTGGATTAAACATGGTTTTATAGCTAGCTACACCTCTCACTTGTATGAACGGATTGTATGTAAAGACGCCATGAACAGTCTGAGAAAACGACATTATGAATGCCAAAAGGCAAGTACAAAATATTGACTGACAGCTTTTATATTTAAGTTTTCAATTACACATACATTACGGATTACCCCAGCCTTAATGGGTTTTTTTTTCTAGTACCAGTTATTCGTTAAATATTCACCATACAGTATATATATTCAGTATATCTTAATATTTTCAGTAATTCTTTTAAATGCAAGTACTTTTTTATTTTCGTTAAGAATATTTTTCAAAAACGTTTTTAGATTTCATGTAAACTGTTTGTATGTTTGTGACTTTTTATGTATTATGACTTTTTTTTTGACAGCAAGAATACTGAAAAACCCAACTTGATGTTTTCTTTTTTTTTTTCTTTCTTCTTTGATTTAATTTGGTTATCAAGTATTTTCCTTTATAGACCTCTTGATGTCACACACTACATTTACTTTATAGAAAGAGAGATGTTTAAAAAGCCCACTACCGCAACGATCTAAATGTTCGCTTACAGGGATTTCCATATATTGCGGCTGTCTGATGTGTTGTCGATGAATTCGCGTTCTCTCAACTAAACTATTTCCGATTTGTTTGATGTATATTTCTTTGCAGCCGCAGCATTCAATACTGTATATCAAATTTTCAATTTTACACGTCATGTTGATATAAGCATATATTGTTTGTCCGGTTTCTGTCTTAAGTTCGCTTCCGATATAGATGTATGCACATTTACCACATCGAGTATCCTTGCATTTCGACACTTGTTTCTTCTCTCTGTTTGGTCAGATTTTGCACGGGTCAATAGACTTTGTAAGTTTTTCTGTTGCCGTTTGCCTTAAATTACTTTAAGGTACTTAATTTTGAATTTTGTCCAAAAATTGGTAAAATTCTTTTCGCTTAGGAAAATATAATCTGTTTGCGAGGATTGTGTGTGACAACAATATATCATTACAAATCTAGTTATGCTTTAATTCATGAAAAGCTAAATCGATGTTATTACCGATTAAACAATATCTGAAGATCTTAGTACGCTGTTTAAATCAATATCCTTTAAATGGGCCAACGAGTTTATATGAATCGTATCTAGCTTTACGGGCATTATGAACTACATTACCATATAAATCAGGATGTGATATCCCGATTTTAAAAAGAATTATAGCTGAACATCCGAGGTTACACACTAAAATATTTTCCTGAATAAATCACCAGTTGTTCATAGATTACATTCATTGAAATCTAAAACATCACTTCAGACACGATGTTGGCACACATGTTTTTGTGCGCTTATCCTAACAGTTACATATGACGGTTAGGTTACAGCACTACATAACAGTGAACTGTGAATATTAATTCGAAATAGTTCAACGTAACATTTAGGTAGGAATCACAAGAAAGAATCTAGACTAACATAAAATCAAAACACACTAAAGTTAATCATGTTTTCCAGGCCATATTTACCATATTGATGCATAATCTAGTTTAAACGTTCAATTTGCGAAAGTTATGCGAGTAATTAATTGTAGAAAATATACTACGCACGGTATCTGTGGTAGCTTTGGTAAAGTTATTTGCTTCATTTTGATTTCTTCTTTATTATAAACGTAGCGTTCGTGTCCGATTACTAGTATTTCAAAGAGAAACACATTCAATACTACTTTATATATATAAAATTTTGCGTTTTAAAGTTTGTACATATTACTATGAGTTAAAAGAAACTTTATTTAAGGTAATTAATTCTTTCCGTTTTTACGATTGTGGCATTGTTGATTTGCAAATGACAAATATAAGCAGATATCTGACACCAAAACGTTTCAATATATAAACCAATGTTGTCTTATTTTCATACATGAGTTTAGGGCATTAGATGGGTCTTTTTGAATACATTTACATCAAAGCAGCAATAAAGAATGCATTTGTAAACAGAAAACAGATATTACTCTTCCTGATTTTTAAAATGTTGGTCAGAATTCATGCGGATCAAAATGAGGACTTGTCTTTCGTCTGCCTTTTCCATTATTTGGTTTCGAACAGACTTCCTCTGGAAAGACGTAATTCCTAAATGACATGCTGGTGGCGTTCAAAATGTGTATGTATGTATAAACCGAAACCACAGAAAACCACATGGCTTTACTAGAGATTGCAGTACCTCTATGAAGTCATTCGTGACACCGTTAACCAAAGTGTTGAATTTGTCAACTGGATCCAAAATTGTTTGAGAATTAGATTACTATTTATATGCATGCATTAAAAACATGATCGTCTAGATCTAATTTCGACGTCGGACAAAGACTCCAGAATAAACGAATTGCTGAATAGCAACGGATAAGACGTATATATATATATATATATATATATATATATATATAAACAAGTCTAAATTGAAAACAACGTTCAAACCTACGATTGCGTTGGATAAAAACCAATACGTGTGCATGTAAAACAAATTTCTTGGTAGAGGGGTCTAAATACAGCACAAACAACATTTTCCAAAAGACCAAAAAAGTGAAAAGTATATTTTAACAAATTGCATTTGACTAACAGGTCGAACAACTGATGTTCTTAAACCCTGCTGACTGCCATTTGTGATTGCCAAATAATTGATCACGAGATGTAACATGGATCTTAATTATTAATTTAATACCAAACAGAAAACAATAAACTTGCGGAGAAGATGGTATACCGCAAACATGAGGTGCAAAAATTTGTACACCATATCCGGATTTCGACAATTAATGTCTCTTCAGTGATGTTAGGGATCGAAACGGTATTTGGAAGGCCATATAATTTACCTCAATTTAGGAAAGCCTCTTGAATTTTGAATTCTTACGTCGAAATAGGATGAACGGATCATATAAACCCGAAGGAAAATATAATACAAGCCCAAACGAAAAAATATAAACAAGTCTAAATTGAAAACAACGTTCAAACCTATGATTGCGTTGGATAAAAACCGCAATTTTTATACGTGTGCATGTAAAACAAATTTCTTGGTAGAGGGGTCTAAATACAGCACAAACAACATTTTCCAAAAGACCAAAAAAGTGAAAAGTATATATATATATTCGTGTTGGTTTATGGAAATGCCGGAACGTCAGAATCGTAAAGTTTACACACCGCCGTTCTGAAAACAGGGAATGATGAACGACATGAAACACAACAGATCGAAACTAGGGTCGTGTATTCAAAACCACACTAGGGCGAAAATGTAGAGGCTTATACACCTAACAAAATGATTATAAACCGATGAATAATCATTGAATGACCACGAAGAAGACGATCAACATGATCTCATAGCTTTGTCAGAATGCATATTGGTCTTTGCAGACTTTCGAATTTTTGATTGTAATAGACTGATGTTAACATTGTGCTGATTTAATCAGGTATATTTTCGCAGTCACTGTATTATATTCAAAATAATCATAAATCGGTTTCGTCATATAGAAGGTACTATAACTGATTTTAAATTGTCATCCTCTTATATTGCTTACAATGACACAGATGATTACTCAAATGATCATTATACTGCATAATTGTGTATGTGAATAAAGTATTTATTTTTTTTTCTTCCGTAATGACTTATTTCATAACATATTTATTATTTAACACAACATTTGAATCAATATGGTTACATTATCGGTACTTTGACAGACATGCAAAAACAAGTAATACAAGCTACATATATTTTTAACTTGGGAAGCGATGTTGAAATCTTTACTTTACCATATTTCTTCTTCCTTAAAATTCATATTGAAAATTGGAATATTACTGTCTCAAACAAAAGAATCACTGAATTAAATAAAAGCTTAGGTTCTAGATTTATTTTAGCTTTTCATTAATTAGAAAAGAAATATACGAGATGATGTTTTTGAAGACACTAAAAACTAAATAACACGAACTTCAGGTATTTACCATTGCAAAATAATCCCAATACAGCTTGTTCAGTCTTAAGCAAATACTTATTCATCATTGTTTCGTCATCGGAATACCGCAATTGAATACCTAGAAAATAAAACTTATGTTATAAACAGCAACAAATACTGAATAAAAAATCCCATGTTTGGCTTTGGTGTATATTTTTAATGTCTACGTTTTGCAAAATACAGCTAAGGTAATCTATTCCTTAAAATGTGAAAGTATGATTTAAGTTCTTCGCTTACATTTTTATGAATGTTTCTTAGTAAACACATTTTAAAAACACTTGTTTATGTGCTTTGCCTATATGCCAATTTGGTTTTTTTTGTTGTTGTTGAAATATTTGTTTGTTTTTATAGTGATTTAAATTATAACACAATGTTAACTACTGTACTCCAATTTTTTACATTTTCACCTGTTATGTCTGTTTGTTTTGTCCACACATTGTTGTCAATATAATGGAATTTGTTATGCGATTGTCATGCAAGTGAGAGGTTTAGATAGTTATAAAACCAGGTTTAATCCACCATTTTCTACACAAGGAATGCCTGTACTCAGTCAGGTATATGACAGTTGTTTTCCATTCGTTTGATGTGTTTTAGCTTTTGATTTTGACATTTGAATAGGGACTTTCCGTTTTGAGTTTCCCTTGGAGTTCGGTATTTTTGTTATTTTACTTTTTGTCGACTGTTTCTTTTTTTCATTGTAATTCTGTTTTTTTAATTTATTTCTGTTATGGATTGGATAAAAAATCGTATCCAAAAATTTATAGATACTAGAATTTTTACTAACTTAATCCAAATTAGAACACGGAACACTTTTGATATCCTTTAAAACTCTAACCGTTTCTCGTATTAAATTATATCATCTTAATTGTGTTGAAAGCTCAATTCGATCACTATACATTAGATCAAATTTGATTTAAAGCAGTTGATTTTTTTATGTTTTCCGTTTTAATGCAGAGAGACAAAACGTTTGACAGCCAGTTGGTCGCTGTAAGAAATGTAGATGATCTCCAATGAAGCTAAGGATAAACTTCAACAGACATTATATTAATTGACCAAGATATGTATCGGACAATGGAGTCGGTAACTAATTAAGATATAGACTACATGTATAAAAAGAATATTTTAGTAATAATTATAGATCATTTGCATATGGCATAAATCTTATGTCACAAATCTCTTAAATACAACTTACTTGGTCTCTTTGGGATTTTCTGTTCTTTCTTCAATTTTGAGGGCATCTTCATTGTCTCATGCATTTGAATGTCAGTAACCATATCATCAAAGCTATAAAGGTAAATTAAAAAGGGGAAATATATGAATAGTAAAATTCTGTTATATTCATTCAACTAATATTTTGCAAGATATTAACAATAAAAACGTATTTATATGAAATACCGAACTTCAATGTAAATTCAAGAAGGGGAAGTCCATAAAACCTGACAAATAAAACCAAACGCTCGACTATATCATGTATTTCAACCAATGTAACGACTGATAATTACATGTGATATTCTTGACTTGGTACACGCATTTTCCAGAGAAAATGGTCCTTAAACCTAGTGTTATTGGTGGTTAAACTCCCGCTTGTTCGCTTGTATGACCCTTGTTTATAAGTTCCGGTATATTGACAAAATTGTGTGAGCAGCACAAACAAACATAATTGGGACCAAGCAGCCAAAGCTGTGCACAGATATATCAGATATATGTTCCTTATGTCGTAACTACACTACCCTCCCTTTTCACGAATGTGACTTACCGAATTAGACTATTTACCGGATTTGTAATAACATAAGCAACACGACGGGTGCCACATGTGGAGCAGGATCTGCTTACCCTTCCGGAGCACCTGAGATCACCCCCAGTTTTTGGTGGGGTTCGTGTTGCTTAGTCTTTGGTTTTCTATGTTGTGTCATCTGTACTATTATTTGTCTGTTTGTCTTTTTATTTTTGGCCATGGCGTTGTCAGTTTGTTTTCGATCTATGAGTTTGACTGTCCCTCTGGTATCTTTCGTCCCTCTTTCAAAGATATACAACACAGTTGATATGAAAAAAATAACATAAACAAACATACAAATTAATCTCCCAAAGACGCCAAAAGAACACATTTTGTAATTGATAGTATAGTATAGTAAAACATAATGAGAACCTGAATCTGTCATTATTTTACTGCGCCAGATGCTCATTTCGACAAATAAATATCGCTTCACTGTAGCTCTTATTTTCCAAATGTTTACTTGTTTTTGGGGTTTTTTGTTGTTGTTATTTCTTCTTTTTTTACTAGTTCAAAAGCTAAACTATGCTGACTGGTACTTTAGTTTGTACGATATGATGTATCTGTTTATTTTATGTTATGTTAACAAATGAATGGCCTCGCGGTAGACGGGGTTTACCAGAATTGGTGGTTTATTTTTCTGTTAATTCTTTCAAAAGATGTCGGCATATGTTTCAATTCCATATCTACAATCTTCTAGGTCCTAGGAACTTACATCTTCATGGACTGATATTCCATCATTCATATAGTTCTATCTGATATTATGTGCTAACAATGACAAGCTGTCATTAAGATATTTGTATTTAGTCTTCAGCAGTTAAAATTTTCATTCAAAAAGAAAATAACGTTATTTTGAATGTACGGCTAGCTACATTAACAACTATTTATTTAACAGAGTGTGATTTGTATTACATGTCCGATGATCAATGGGAAACCATCTAGTAAATGACTTCAAATAAATTACACATCGTGACAATAATATAAACATGTGCAGATGTATTATGATTGCCGATACGACAACTCTACACCAAATACCAAATGACGTAGAAGAGAGCAAGTTTAGGTCACTGTGCGGCCTACAACAATGATAAACACTCTACCGCATGACAAGCTATAAAAGGCCCCGAAATGACACATGCAGAACAATTCAAACGAGAAAAAAAAAAACTAACGCTCTGATTTATGTACAAAACTAAAACCGAAAAAAAAAGCAACAAACGACAAACACTGAATTGCTGGATCCATACTTCGGACTGGCACATACAAAATGTGGCGGGGTTAAACATGTTGCGGGGGCTCAACCCTCCCCTAACATTGGATAGTGGTTACATAAGAACAAACTATAAAAATCAGTTGAAAGGGATCAACTCATCAGATCGATACAAAGCACAAACACACCTATCAAAAGAATACAATATGTTCAGTTCTGATGAAGGTAAATATAGGAAAGCGCTTTGGATGAATGAAATTTATAACGTGTGGTTATCATTAACTTACTGAATGCTAGTTCAAAGCCAATAACAACTAATAAAAAAACATTTATATAATAGTATATTTTCGGAATGTTTTATGATTTAAGAACTGAGACGTTTTCCTTTTTTTCATCAAAATTATCAATTAAAAACAATAACTTGAGGAATATCGACATGCTCTGATGTAATCATTTACTTTTTTATAATGAATTTGCTTCGGCCGGCACAATATGTATTAACAAAAGTATACAGAATGACATCCGGAAAATAGTAAAATTTAGAATCAAAAGAACAATTGAATATATCATTGTATAACATACACAGGGAAATTTCACTCACATGAATTTCACATGAATTTAAATTCATGTGGATCTCACGTGAAATTCACGGGACTTTCACCTCAAACGAGCTCATACGTGAAAATCACGTGAAATCAGTTCATGAATCTCAGTGTATAACTCATTTGAATTTCACATGAAAATCCATGAATTTTTTCAATGAAATTCACGTGCATTTAAAAAATAAAGTTATTCAAAAAACTATTAAATTTCAAATTTAATTAAAATCATGAAAAAACATAAAAAATTTATTTTTGTAATAGTTCATGTGAAATTCACGTGAAATTCACATGAAAAATTTCATGTGAGCTTCATGTATAAGCCCGTTTGAGGTGAATTTCGCGTGACATTTTTCACATGAATTTCATGTAAGCAAAATTTGCCTGATTAAGATAAAACATCAATGCTTACATTATGAGAACCAATGAGAAAATAGTTTCTCTTTCTTGGATATATTTGTGGAGTTGGTTGCGTAACATCCAGTGGCAAATATTTCATACATGTTCAGGATGAGAACATTTTAACAATGAATCCTATAGATTAGTCCTGTAATAGATGCCGTCCGGAATGAAGGTCGGGGAAATTTAGACTGCAACTGGAAAATGAGGGTAAATTAGATAGCAGAATTTTGTCCTTACACCTGACCACCTACGGACCCCTCAAAGAGTTGTTCCAAGGGTTCTTAACGTGCAGAGAGTGTGGTACTCTCTTTACAAGAGGCATCGGATTTAACCTCCCCATTCTGACCTGACGTTGCAACCTACTTGTACATCATGCACAGCAAGACGGACGCCCCACTTTGGCAAGGGTTTTACTGCCGGTCGGAAGAGGACCATATTTCTATTCCCCAGTCACTCTTGATGTGAAAAGAAAGAGAACAAAATTACTTTTTATTATTAGGTCTACAATGAGCAACCCAGTGTTCAGGTATTTGTCATATTTATCTTCAGAGAGTATTTTTGGAAGTTCAGGTTTTCCTTTAAATAATGTTTTTAGAACATTTAAATTTGGCAATGTAATTTGTAATTTGGTGCGATATTTTTTTTCTTTTTTAATTAATTCAATATTGTCAAAGCTATCAAAAGAAATTATTTTGACATTCAACGGTAGTTGCCAATTCAATTGATTAGTGCATGCCAGAGACGAGAGACCATATGAAAACTCCATAATGAATTATCTATGGTATCTAGTTCTTCTTTCTAAATCTAAATATATTACTGTAAATACCAATCTTATAAAGTAGCTAATAATTGTCCAAAATTCTATGGATAATTCAATTGGGTAACCATCACACATATGTGTATTTTGAACATAATGAGTGTTGTTTTAGTTAATACCAGTCATATTTTTAAAAGATATTTTTCCTACTTTTCCTTTACTCCAAAAGTAATGTTTTCTCATTTGATAGCTTTAACAGTCCCATTGTAACTTTCTTTGTTTGAAAGAACATACTTAAATTGAACTTTTTAGAAACTCTGGGAAAGAAATGTTGAATACAATTCTAAGTTCATTTATATTTTAGTCAGGGCAACTCATTAAAAGCACATATGTTTGTCAATTAAAAAAACATATACACTTCTAACTGTCTTGTTACCTGTTTATATTATATATTGATGGTCTTTCTTAAATTTGAATCAAATATAAGTATTAACAATATTCATTATAAATTACCTTTTGCTAACTTTTTCTGACTTCTGAAATGGTTTACTCTGTATATTTTTCTCAACTTCTGAATAGATATTTAGGTTTTCATTTGGCATAGAACAATCGTGTAAATCACAGAATTTCGTATATTGTTTTTCTCTGGGATCATGCTCTGCATTTTCATGTTCAATATCCTCTGTTTTCTCGCTTTGTATTTCGTTACTTGTAAGATGTCCTGCAGAAACTAACGGCGAAGACACTGTATTGTCATTAGGACGAGAGATACTGGTTTTGTGTGATGTAGGCTGTTTCTGCTGTGGGCAGGTCCAAGTACTGACTTCAGAAGATTCTATGATATTTTTGTAAAGTCCTGGTAGACGGACACAAATCTAGAGATGTTAAGATATAAGTCAAAAATAAGGAAATAAAAGGAATGCGTTCTTTCATACCTAAATTGTGTAAAACACATATAATTCTCAAGAGTTCAGGTTTACTAACAAATTCACACTTCTAAAAAGTAAAATAACAAAAATAACTAACTCCATGGAAAATTGAAAAGGGAAAGTCCTTATAACACAATAAACCGATGGAAAACAACTGTCATATTCCTGACTTGGTACAGGCATTTCCTTATGTAGAAAATGGTGGATTGAACCTAATTTTATAGCTAGATAAACATCTCACTTGTATGACAGTCGCATAAAATTCCATTATACTGACAACAATGTGCGGGCAACAGAGGTCAACATTGTGTTATAATATTAATCACTGTAAAAACAAACAACTTTCTTAACAAAGAAGAGTTAAGAGTATCTATGTGTAGCCAATTGGTAAAAAGAATCATTAAAAAAGAAAATTAGGGATTCATAGAATTAACACAATTTGGACATGAATAAGTTACATCAGAAAAAAAGAAATATGAGAAATGTGTAAAATAGACGAAATTGTATGACTTTACATCGGTCAATGCTATAAACAGAGGGGTTTTGCATGTTTAAAAAATCTTAGAGTATAATCTTTGAAATGTCGATCGTTTACATTGTCTGTACCTGTAAATGTTTAAAATTTGAAAATAAATGACAAAGAAGTATATATATATGCTAATTTACATAAAAGATGTTAGTTGAGACTAAAAAAAAATAAACAAAACAAAATATACAAAACTAACCATGATTGCAACGGTCTCTGTACTGGCAGATATATCTTGTCCAAAGCAGGTAATACCTGAAGCAGGAGAATCCTTATTATCTGTTAACACAAACATAGAATTACTTGTCTTCCCTGTGTTATCAGATGAGGTTTGTTCGAGCACACCAAACTCGTACACATGTTGAGACTGTGCATTGTAGCAAAATGATCTGGAACGTTTGATCATCCCCCGTGGTCTTGTAAAGACAGTTATTTCAGTTCCAGTCTCCACAGAGTATTTGAATAAACAGTGTTGTTGTGTCTCATTCCTTGTGGCATACACGCAATTCTGTAAATAATAATAAAACTAAAAAACTGTGAATGATAAAAGCTTAATAATCTTGTTTCTATAATAAATTACTTTTACTGAAATGGTATGTTATTACTTATATCCTTGTCCTTTGATCTTTGGTGGATAGTTGAAGCATTGGCAATCATTACAGATCGCCTCATTTTACATTGATTAAGATTTTCATATTATACTCAGATTAATTAGCTTACCTATTTACCACGTCTTTTTGTTATGTTATGTTTTATTTTGATTTTAATCATCTTTTCGTCAAGTTTTTACTATGTATATAAATAGTTGAAATGAATATCAATGGATTCATTTTTACCTGTATATATACTTCCTCAGTTGAGCTTTTCAAATCTCTTGAAACCATGATATTCAGTATATGGGTTTGAAAAGCAAAGCAGTTAATGTTAATTCAATATGTGTATATGCTTTCTAAACAAGTCTTACCAAAAAAAGGTTTGCAGATGCATGCAAGCTAAATGATGAATTAAGTGGCCGTACGTCTTGTAGATATGCTTTCATGAATGCGTTTTCGTTTATTCTCTGATTGAAGATGAATGGGTTCCCAGCTAATATTTTCCCAAATATACTTTGAACATCTTTGTTGCTATCTGTGTAAAATTCCATCCATTATTCAATGAATTAGTAAAATGTGTAATTGAATTTCGGGTAAACATTGCATTAATTCTACATAATAAAAAGGCAAGATAAAATATTAAATGAATGTGAAGTTTCAAAATTAATTTCTAAATTCAAAATTATTGAAAAGTTAACTTTTTTAAAAAATTGCCTAGAATTATATGTCGAAAAGAAAGCTATTTAGTTACTATATACGGTTGAATTCAATCGATAACTTACATAAGAATTTCAATTGAAACATAAATATCTATATATTAATCAAATGTATCTACTATAAAAATGGCTGTACATTAGAATATAATCAAATCAAAGAACTCTTGGTGTCACTCAATGAAACGAAAACATTAAATTAACAAAAATACTGAACTCAAAGAAAAATTCAAAACAGATTTGTCAAATGGCAACATTCAAAAGCTCAAACACATCACACAACTCTTTAATGAAACAAAATATTTTGCATGTTAAAGACACCATACAAATTGACGTGCAGTCAACAACTGATATACAGCCAAATAAGCCGCTTATCTGAAGACATATTACCCTCGATATAAAGACACCTTACGCGCTACTATGCATACATCTTACCAGCTGATATACAGAAATCTCACCAACTGACGTGCATTCATCATACCAACTGATATTCAGGCAAACAAGCCTTTGATCCAAAGACGCATCTATCCCGCTGATATTCAGGCATACTGCCAACTAGTAGACTGACAGCTAACCCGCTAATATATAAATACAAGCATCTGACCACATGATAAACATACATCTAACCACATGATATACAGACATCTGTTTCAACTGATGTACAGATATCTTAACCGCTGATAAATTGATATCCTACCGCTAATAAAGAGACATATTTCACCATATTACAGAGAACTATTCCCCATAATAAGAATACTCTTCCCCATAATAAAGAGAACACTTCCACATAATAAGAGTACACTTCCCTATAATAAAGAGATCATTTCCCCATAATAAGAGTACACTTCCCTATAATAAAGAGAACATTTCCCAGTAATAAGAGTACACTTCCCTATAATAAAGAGAATTCTTCCCCATGAAAAAGATATATGTTTCCCATGACAAAGAGACATTCTACTAACAAAACAACAGACATATTATCAACTTATATAAAGACATCTGAGCCACTAATATACAAACATGTTACCTGCTAATATACAAACATGTTACCCGCTGATATACAGACATGCTACTAACTAATATACAGACATCTTTCCAACTGGTATAAAGACATCTGAGCCGCTAATATACAAACATGTTACCCGCTGATATACAGACATACTACTAACTAATAGACATACATCTTACCAACTGGTATAAAGACATCTGAGCCGCTAATATACAAACATGTTACCCGCTGATATACAGACATACTACAAACTAATACAAACATATATAGAAATTCTATCCCTTATACGCTTACATCTTTCCCCGTGATATGCATACATCTCTAATACTGATAAACAAACATCTTACCCGCTGATATACAAACATAAAACAAATCTACTGCACTATCTCCAATAGTAGACAATATCCACTGTCTTGATTCTGGTGAAACTAAATTACTATCTTTTGTTGGTGGAAAAAGAAGATTATTGCTTAGTAACCAGGTTCCAGATTTCCATGAGTTATCTGTGGCAAAAATACCCTGTAAAATGTAAAATAACAAAACTACCGAACTCCAAGGAAAATTCAAAATGGAAAGTCCCTTATCAAATTGCAAAATCAAAAGCTCAAACACATCAAACGAATGGAAAACAACTGTAATATTCCTAACTTGGTACAGGCATTTCCTTATGCAGAAAATGGTGGATTAAACCTTAGTTCATAGCTAGCTCAACCTTTCACTTGTATGACAGTCGAATAAAATTCCATTATACTGACAACAATGTGTGAACAAAACAAACAGACATAATAGGTAAAAATGTCAAATGTAAGCAATACATGTATATGTATTTGAGCAAATCATTTCACGTGTATGCTATAACAATTGAAACTGCCACTTTTAAATAAGTTTTCTTTTTTTAACATTTAGTCAAAGCCGGACAATGAATCAAATTATACATGAGTTATACATGATGCACCTAAACTACATTATATATAGAAAATGAAATATATGGTTTACAACAAAAGGTATTGGTTTGAAAAATAAACAGCAAACATTATGTGCATAGACAAGTAAAAAATAGGAAATAAAAGAAATGCATTAAATCTAGGAAAACATACGTACATGCATCCATTGCGATCTCATTGGAGACTGCTTGATATCTGCGATATTTTTTGCGTTTAGAAAATCGCTGAAATAAACCATATACTCTGCAGACTCAGTATTTATAATGGACAGTATCACACGCGATAAAACACTGTCAGCTTTTTCTGGAAAATGAACCTGACGAAAAAAATTAATATAAGACAAATATTTTATTGTGTTTGTTCATTTAATTATAATACCAGAGGATTTATACATATAACGATAACAAATTCCGTTACGAATACATTGAACAGATTGCAGCAATAGGAAATCAATCTGAATTAATTGATTGATTACTGAAGTGTCAAATTAAGTTTGATCTGTAAACTTAAATGATAGCATATATATCAATGTAACGTTACCTGTAATAAACTTCCTTATTATAATACTTCTCATAACTTATCTACGTAATATATGCAAATCGTATACAAACATGCTGAAAATTCCTACAAATAGACTCACCGTTATGTTTTCATTGTTAGTACTATCGACATAGTAATGTATGAAAGGTCTGTCTTTCTGTTGGTATAGGATCCACCATGACACGGAATCACCACTTATACTTGGACAGTATTGTATGGTCGATACAAGAACATTCAGAAACAAGAATACTGATGTAAGGTATGCGCTCATTGATACCATTGTCACCTATAATATATAGATGGAGTAAATTAAACCGGTCAATATGATAACAAAAATACTTGGTTTCTTAAAACAAAAACTTTTTTTTTTAATTTTCCTATCTGTTTCGTAGATTCCTTCGTGTGCTTCCGTAAACAACATCACCATTTTTTTCATCACATTGCAGCTTATTCCTTGGATTGCTTTGAAACATCTTGTACATTGGATATTTCAATATTACACTCATATCAACCGAGACACCATATAATAAAGTTGGAAAATTATACGGAGTGTATTGTTGAAGAAAATAAACATAGCATATACACTTTATCATATATGTTACTCATCAGAGATATCAGAATCATAATTGGTTATGTCAGACATAAGATCGATCACAATTGACAGGACAAATCGAGTACGAAGTTGAAGAGCATTGTGAACAAAAAGAGAGGTGCCAAAACGGTTTAGACTATCTATTCCTGGAGGTAAAAAAATCTTAGTGTTACGAATATTTCAAAAATTTTATAGACAAAATATTTACAAAAAATGATTGTATCAATAATATTTCATGTAAACACAGAAGTGCTGACTATTTGACTGGTGATACCCTCGCACCGACCCAGTGAGCTGTTTTTTCTGTAATGATTTGAGAAAGCCTTGCGATAGTGACTGATATCAATATCATCACAGATAGATGATACAGATAAATAGGCCTTGAGTATTTTGAAATGCACATCTGGTACTATAAGATTGGAACGTTTATGTCAATACATATAAAGTTTATTTGTATTTACTTCCAAGTATATTGCAAAAGAGACTGCGCGGTAGTATGATATGTATGATATAGATTCCATTACGTATGATATGTGCATCTGGAAGGTAGTCATCGGGTACTTTTGACAACAAACGTTTAGAAATATAGGAGAAAGTTGCAAACATATGTTTTAATTCGATAACATGTTTTATAATCATAAAATTTAGCATTAAAGTGCATCGTTTGAATAATGTCAATATATTCGCGTTTGCTGCAGGTAGGGTGGTAGCTTGCTAAACATCCGTAAACATGTGTAAAGAGTACATAATTTAGAATAGACGTACCAATTAAGACATCGTTGTGCAAGAGTTAATTTTATTAAATGCATATTTTATACTTAGATTCAATGAAGTGCTTCGACAAATCAATGATATTCACTTCATTTGAACTTTGGTGGATAGTTGTCTCATTGGCAATCATACCACATCTCCTTATCTTTATATCAAGGTAAGAAACAAACATCAAGTGAATCGCATGAAATCAAGGAGGAGCGAATCCGGTTGCATCGACAGGATAAGCGTCTCATGCAATCCATGCATGCATCATCTGCCATGCGAATTCACTCAGTCAACATGCCATAATCGGGAATAGGACACATTCAATCGGTTAAATTACAGTCAGACGACAATACTGGTATCTAATGATCTAAGACCGCTAAGTCGCTAGTGAGGTGATGCACCGACACCTCGTATCGCTTAATCAATTTGTTATGGAGACCTTTGATTTCGGTTAATCTTTCTCGTACCTCTGTTGGAGTAGTTTATGTGTAAGAAGGACACAACTGTTAATGAATTTCGTATAATGTGAACATGCTCGAGTATAACGTATTATCTGAGACATGTAAACACCACACGATAGAGCAGAAGATATGTAACTGCTGAGAAATGAGAAGTTGACAATTGGAAGGTTGAAATCCTCACGTTTGTCATAGACTTTAGTTTTAAGTCATCTATCTGTGTCAATATCGAAGAAAAGTTCAATATATGAAGCTATGGAACGCCATCGCTATCTTATGTGGTACTCTGATATTACGTTATGTTGTATTATTATTACTTGATGATATTTTGTCTTTACATAATATGGTTTTGACATTACGTAATGATGTTCTGATATTATTCAATATGGAGTAGTCATTACTTAATGATATTTCGATATTACATGATATATGGTTTCGTATGGACTTGATATAGTTTTGTCATTACTTAATATGGTTTTGTCATTACTCGATGTGGTTTCATCATTATCTAATGTGGTTGTATTATTATGCGATGTGGTTTTTACATTACTTGATGTGTATGTGGCTTAACGTAATGTAGTTGTTTCATTACATGATGTGGTTTTGTTATTTCGTAATGATGATTTGCCAATTCCTTATATGGCTTTAAAATTACATAATGATGTTTCAAAATTTGACGATTTTACACTACATGATGTGTTCGTTCCAGTATTTGATGTGGTTATCACATTACTTGATGAGGTAAAACCACGTGACTATTTGGGAAAAGCTAGTTCTATTTTTAAAACCGATTTTCATGTTTTATTTGCCTCGGATGAGTGTGGCAACCCATCGAGTTAGAGTTCAAATTAAAGTTCGGGTTACTGATCGAATTAAACTTCGAGTTAGTCTTCGATTTAAACTTCGAGTAATTTTCGATTTAGAGTCATAATGAGAATAAAAGTTCGAGTTAGCATTGAGTTTCGAGTTGAACTTCGAGTTTGAGTTACCTTTTGAGGTAGAGTTCGAGTAAGACTTGAGTCTCATTTAGATTAAGATTTCGAGTTGAAATTGGAGTTATATAACATGAGTTCGTATTTAGATTTTCTATCGCGGATCAAGGGCTTTTGCTTGGGCTTCCGAAAAAAGGGTTAATGGGTATGCGTACAAAAGATAAACAATGTTACAGAATACAAAACACCACATAGAAATCGAAATAAAGTGAGATGTGGTGTGATTGCCAATGAGACAACTATCCGCCAGAGTTTAAATGCAGTGGATGTAAGCAATTATAGGCACCCGTAACTAATAACTAAACAACTTACGAAAAACAAATATGACACACATGAAACAACGAAAACCATTGAATTGCAGGCTCCTGGCTTAGAACAGGCACATAAGGAATGTGCACGTGGCAGTTAAACATGTCTGTGAGCGCTAAACCCTAACCCTACCATGGGTGAATAGTGTAACAGCACAACACAAGAACTGTAAAAATAGATGCAATTGGCTTAACTCTATAGATCGGTATGACTGGGCAATATAAATCCATCAAAATCTTGGGGTGATCTCGGGTGCTCCGGAAGAGTAAGCAGATCCTGCTCAACGTGTGGCACCTGTCGTGTTATTCGTGAAAGTATAAACCCATTGATTTGGTATAATTCGGTAGGTCACATTCGAAAAAAAGAGGACGGGATTGTGGTTACGACAACTGGAACATATCCGTCGTCACCTGTGGAACAGATATTCCAAAAAGTTTAGTTTTTTTCAATTTAGTGCGAGGTATATCAGAGAATGGAATTTATTAAAATATATACTAGAAGATTGATATTCGTATATGTTCAAATGATAATACACGCTAAAAAAAAAACCGGAGAATTCTTATTTTATAGAATTGATGCTTTGTCGCTTAGTCAGATCCCCCCATTTCCCTGTAACTTTAGTGTGAGTTGATTTAAAGTGTTTCATTTGTTGACAATAAAGTACAAGTCATTTGGTGTGTGTCCAGCCTGCGATATTAATGTCGCGGAAGTGAGACACAACAAACCTATATTCCGTCGTCGGCGTCTTCATCATTTAGATCGTTAGGTTACTCGTTTGAATTGTTTTTACATTTGTCATTTCTGGACCTGTTATAGCTTACTATGCGGTATGGGTTTTGCTCATTGTTGAAGACCATACAGTGACATATAGTTGTTAGCTGCTACGTCATTTGGTATGTGGTGGAGAGTTGTCTTATTGGCAATCATACCACATATGGCAAAATTTGGGGTAATTTGCTAATTTGCATAGCGGCCATTTTGCCTTATCATGACGGCAGCCATTGCAATAGGATTATATAAGCCCCTTAAATAAAAATGCCAATATGCCAATACCTATCTCGAATGAACAATTTGTTCGCATATAGGTGAATTGTACATGTTTTTAGGCTTCTGTCCGTGTACAAATGGACATTGTCTACTCTGAAATCTTTCGGCCTTTTTAGTTTAAAAATCGGAAGCGTAGTCATAGTATAATTGCTATATAAGATCATATAAAATGACGGAAAATCGTAAAATAGCAAGATTCAAAACAGAAATACATATGCAAGAAGATATTGTTCATGATTTGTTCGCATATAGGGAAACACCTTGTAGGTTGAATTTTAAAGTTAAATAACTTTTAACTTACCTACTTTCTCAAGTTTTCGGCCAAATTCTTTTAAAAAAATGATGATTTCAACCTTCTCATTTAGTAAAAAGTCAAATTTTAAGCATTTTCCCTTAGAATAACACAGCATTTTTTGTAAATATCCGCCAAAGGAAGTTTTTAAAGATACATTAGTTTTAGATACATGACGGAAAAGGACGTGATTATCCGCTAATCTAAAATAAATTATATTTTCAATCTTAAGCTAAGGGAGGTAATTTGATCAAAAGGGACAAAGTCACGTGGTGCAAATCATTTGAATAAAGTACCTTTGATTTTGCCATATGACAACTTCTTATTTTTATATAAGTTTTATTTGCATTAAATATTACCAAATTAACAATTTTGTCATGATAAATTTGTAAACCTCCATGAATGGTTATAAAACTTGTATAGGAGTTAATCTTCTATATCGAGATAAAGCATGTACAGAAAAACTATTTTTTTATTTTTTTTTTTTTACCCGCTATAAATGGAAGTTTTACAGTCAACATTACACTTTTACAATGCCAGCAGCAATCTCAGGCGAGACACAGGGTTCCGTGGAATTCTTCACGAATTTATTATAATACTGCTTCCATTTGAGAACTAAGTCAAAAACGGCAGGACCAAGTGGTTTGGGGATATCTCCCTTATGTCCGAAATATTGATATTTTTTTTGTACTTTTTTTTCTTATTTTTGTCTGCCTTTCCCCTTTTTCATACAAATAACTCTGAACAACGAACTTTAATTTGAACTTTAACTCAATGGATAGCGACACTCATACGAAGCACATTAACAAACGACATATGGAAATCGGTCTAAAAATAGAACTAATTTTTCCAAAATGGTCACGTGGCTTTACCTCATCAAGTAATTAGTTACGGGTGCCTATAATTGCTTACATCCACTGCATTTAAACTCTGGCGGATAGTTGTCTCATTGGCAATCACACCACATCTCACTTTATTTCGATTTCTATGTGGTGTTTTGTATTCTGTAACATTGTTTATCTTTTGTACGCATACCCATTAACCCTTTTTTCGGAAGCCCAAGCAAAAGCCCTTGATCCGCGATAGAAAATCTAAATACGAACTCATGTTAGATAACTCCAATTTCAACTCGAAATCTTAATCTAAATGAGACTCAAGTCTTACTCGAACTCTACCTCAAAAGGTAACTCAAACTCGAAGTTCAACTCGAAACTCAATGCTAACTCGAACTTTTATTCTCATTATGACTCTAAATCGAAAATTACTCGAAGTTTAAATCGAAGACTAACTCGAAGTTTAATTCGATCAGTAACCCGAACTTTAATTTGAACTCTAACTCGATGGGTTGCCACTCATCCGAGGCAAATAAAACATGAAAATCGGTTTTAAAAATAGAACTAGCTTTTCCCAAATAGTCACGTGGTTTTACCTCATCAAGTAATGTGATAACCACATCAAAGAATGACAGGACCACATAAAATACAGGAACAAACTCATCGTGTTGTGTAAAATCGTCACATTTTGAACCATCATTATGTAATGTTAAAGCCATATGAAGAATTGGCAAATCATCATTACGAAATAACAAAACCACATCATGTAATTAATGAAACAAATACATAACGTTAAGCCACATACACATCAAGTAATGTTAAAATCACATTGCATAATGACACAACCACATTAAATAATGATGAAATCAAATCGAGTTATGACAAAACCATATTAAGTAATGAAAAAACCATATCAAGTCCATACGAAACCATATCACGTAAAATCGAAATATCATTAAGTAATGACTATATTCCATATTGAGTTATATCAAAACATCATTACGTGATGTCAAAACAATATTATGAAAAGACAAAATATCATCAAGTAATAATAAAACAACATAACGTAATATCAGAGTACCACATAAGACAGCTGTGGCGTTCCATATGAAGCACAACTTCTACTTTCGGTAGTATCTATAATCGGAGGTTCACTAGGATATATGAAATTTAAGCATCAATATATCTTAACGTGAAATAAAAGAACTTTGCAAGATGTTTTTTTTTATTTTGTCTTTGAGTAGGTACAAGAACAAGTTGGCCAGTAGTGGTGCGAAATCAGTATCCATTGGAATACCGACTGTCTGCTAAGATATCAATCCAGAGGCGGGTCCAGGTGAGGGCGTAATGGGCGTACGCCCCCTCCCCCCTTTTTCAAAAAAAAAAAGTAAAAAAAAACTATCGTAATCTGCTAATATTGTATTGAATATGGCAATTTATGCATTTCACAATTATTTTATGTTTTTTAGCAAAAAAAGGTCCAAAATTTTTTTCGCATCGCTCCGCTCGGCGAAAGATTTCATTCTACGCCCCCTCTTTCAAATATCCAAGAAACGCCCCTGAATCCACCAATCGCAACAAATATGTTTTCGATCAAAAAGTCCAGCATTTTGAAGATATCATCTTCGGTATATTAGTTTTATGACGTTTTAATATACGTTAAGCACTTCTTTTTCTTTCGTAGAACGTCCGTTTTTAACGTACCTAAAATGTACGTTTGTCATGCGTAAAACGTTAAGTTATTAGACAAGTACTTACCGACTGGTATGTTTGGAACGAACATCCACAAAACGTACGTTAATATTTTCCCTGAGTAAACATTGTTAAGGGATATCTCAATCATTAACAGATTTATTTGAGGGGACGACATTCTTGGGGAAGATGGTATGTTGTAAAGTTAATGAAAGTTGTCATGAATTATTGTATATATGTTTTGGGTATGATCTCGGTGGTTTGCAGAGTGATTAGCATAAAAGATTTGAAGGAAGGAGATAAATCCCTACGGGAGTAAGTACAGTATTATGTTGGTGAAACTCGTGTATGAGGAATAAGAATAAAGATCCGATGCTAACGGTAATTATAGATTATTGAATCGATTTTAAAAATAAATATTATTTCTTTTAAACGAGCAACCTTTCAATACCTTGTATGTGGAAGTATTTTCTGGAAATACGAAAATGTATTTATTTTGTGTATATTATGTACAGTTTCCTTATTTCTCCCTTCGGAAGGAGAAGCTTTAGCTGATGTTATCCATTTCAAAAAGAGGTTATTTAAATGTTGATTTATCATACTTACATTATATTCCAAGCCTTGCACAGATTTTTAATCCCAATATTTTTTGCCAATAAAATATCATGAGATCTATCTCAAGTCTCAAGGTAGTATAAAGTTGGGGTATTTTACCTTTGAGTTGTAAAATACATGTTTAATAGTTCCTTGTCATTGTTCAATGAATTCATCCTTTAAATAATGTCAATAAAATCACTGAGTATATTTGTCCGTATACATTAAAGTAACCTCCAAGCCTATTTTAAAATTTCTACTGATTGCAATATTAGGTTTCAAGGTAAAAATTGGAAAAACTAAAAATAAAAAACTATTTGGCAACAATGTATAGGATATTCATTTTAAAAACTAACTAAACTAAGGTTTTTTGCAAATGAAATGTTTGATTTTAATCAAGTACAAATCTGAATGAAGTACTGGATTTAAATCAGACAGATCTAAATAATATTGACTCAATTGCTAGTCATATCTGTAAGATTGGTTTTTATTTGTTTGTTAATATAATAATGTAGTACCCTAGTATTATCGGAGTCGATCATACCTGGTAGTGGACTTATTCGATGCCCTAATACTTCCCATTCAAACTTATTAGTGTAAGGTATTGGTGTTTGAAGACGTATTCTGTAAAAGTATATTAAAGAAAAAAATAACTACACCTAATTCATATCTTACATTGATATCAAAGATTCACAAAATAACTACACTTCATTCATATCTTACACTGATATCAAAGATCTACCCCATTATCTTCAATCTATTACAAGTTTTGCTATATTATTTCTTTGAGTTTTCTAACCTCTATACCATTATATCCAATGGTCAACTGAACGATTGGCTACATCTTCTCAATAAACAGTATTTTATCTACAAAAATGGGAAAGGTAGATACAAATTGCTTTTTTCAGATCCTGAGCAATGTCCAAATGTGATAATGATTCGTCATAATGATCGACCTTTTGAAGGAAAACATATTTTGGTTGGTTGGTTTTTTAGCCAAAAAATTTCGTGTTCCAGTGGGTTGTTCATAAAATCTTGCAAGGTTCTTTTATTTTACTTTCAGATACATTGGTGAAGTCCTATCAACCAATGTCAATGAGTGCTTGCATCTCATATATCCAAGTGGGTTTGAAATTAGGGGTACTACCGAAACTAGGTCTGCTTCATATCTGGATCACAGATAGACGATTTCAAACTAGATTCTATGTCAAACGAGACAATTTCATGAGCTGCTCCAACGAGTTTTATATTTTAATTGATTGTTTGGTTGTCCTTTTTAGGAAACCCAGAGAAATTTTTAGTACCGTTGCAGTGGAAGGTGGGTGAAATTATACTATTATAACAGAAGTTTTATAAAGAGCCTAAAAACTAGTCCATGAAGCCTACGGGTAAACAGTTAAAGATTGTTAAAAACCAGATTCCCAAATTTTTGTATAATTTTCAAGAGAAAAAGACTGAATGCTTGAAAGATGGTGTAGTAGTAAATATATTGATAAAATTATGAAAAGAGTTAAAAAAAACTGCATCCATATTGACATTAAACCCCATCTAGGAGTGCACAACATTTATTTTTATTATTTCAATAACACAAGTCACTATAATCAATTTTGGATATTACAGTGTCCAGATGAAGGGCAACTTTGTTGTTAAAATGTGAAGTGTAGGAAGGAATATATTTGTTTCTAATTCTTAACAATTTATGTTTTGCTGTAACACTTCTTCTGATTGGCTGAAAGTTTTTTGTCTATCAGCTCATTGACATAATTTTTTCGTATGATCGTGACGTCATCTGCGTTTTTTTTTTCATGATTTATTCCTTAAAAATGGAATTTAGAAATAAATTATAAGGAAAAACTGTAATATTTTTTCTGTCTATTTGAAATAACCTCAAAAATGTGGTGCACACTTTTAAATAACCTGTGTACGGGTTATTCAGTGTGCACCCCATTTTTGATGTTATTTTTTCATAGACAGAAAAATATTAGTCATTCCTTAAAGAACTTAATTTTATAAAGAGGTTTGGTCAATTTAAGCAGCAGAATCCTACTTCTCACTTCTTTGCATTATTATTCTGTCATGCATATAGAGTTAAAGAAGCAGTCCCCATCATGAAATCTTGGCCCAATCGATATCGATCATGAAAATGAGGTCCAAACCATATGACATAATTCAAACCAAAATATACTTGTATAATAAAATAAATACCTGAAACATAATTTTCAAAGTCAATGAACAACGAGGATGGGTGGAGCCATATAGTACTGTAAATTCAGAAATTATTGCGATGTTTTTATTATTACGAAAAATGCGACAGGGTTATAATCGCAATAATTTAAACTCGCATTTTGAAATTTTTTATATGAATTAAACAGGATTTTTCTCAATATCGCAAAAATTAAAATCGCATTTTAGTCTAAAATGACAAAATCGCAATAATAAATGCACGCAATAATTTCTGAATTTACAGTATCCATGGAAATGAGACAAGCAAATGCTAATACAACTGCATACCAAACATCATTGACTTACCATTAGTAACTACATGTAGATATCATTGAGATGGGAGCCACCTCTGTGGGCCCCGCTGTGAATAATGTGTGGTAAAAAAATTTGTATCTTTATCATTGGACATGGGGTTGTCAACTGAAACCAAAGTTTTTGACCTTGACCTTTGACCTAGGAAGTTGTACATAAATTATGACACACCCTCTGGTGTTGGTTTATATACATGTCAAGTATAAATTTTGAAATCATAACGGTTCTCAAGATATAGAGCGGACACGATCTTTACCATAGGACATGGGGTTGTCAACTAAAACCAAAGTTTTTGACCTTGACCATTGACCTAGGAAGTTGTACATACATTATGACACACCCTCTGGTGTTGGTTAATATACATGTCAAGTATAAACTTTGAAATCATAACGGTTCTCTAGATATAGAGCGGACACAATTTGTTACGGAGGGACGGACGGACGGACAGACGGACGGACGGACGGACAGACGGACGGACATACGGACGGACGAACGGACGGACGGACAGACTGATCACTATAGGGCTTCTGCCATTTGGCAGGGCCCTAATTAATCTTAAACTAACCTAATCAAAAACTTATGTATGTAAAAAGTTTCAAAGTCAATAGACTATGACTTGCAGGGCAAAGTATTCTGCATGGAAATGAGAAGTGCTAATTCTAAAACAACTGCATACCATATATCATTGACCTACTACCAGCAGTTCACCATAAACTGACCTACTCACAAACTAATACAATGTTGACAGCAACAACGGACGTAGTCCAAGCATGACAAAGAAGCTTATGTCAAGTTGAAGGTCTGAAGGTTTGACAAAGTTATTGATGTCCAAAATTCTTTAACCACAGACTGAACCTAAAATATTGTTGCTGCTGACGATGATAGAATGTAGGATTGGTATGTCTCGCTTTCACAACAAAATGTCCTAAAACAATACCTTCACACAGACATACTCTTTATTTTGACTTCTTTATTTCCCCAATACATTTAAATGCAAAATATTACCTGCTTGAACTATAACATCATATTTTGTCATAGCAACTAATAACATGGAGGGCAAAACAACAATGGAAATGCTGTCAATACTTTTAATAGATTTTCAACAAAATATAAAACAAATACATATATTACATTGCTGTATAACAAGTAACTTAATTTCACATAAAAATAAAACAAAGTGGATTTCTTTTGATCAATAAGGGATTCAAAACAAAAATACTAATATGAGAAAAGAATTATCAAAAGTACACATGTGAAAATTATTGTTTTCAAATATAAAAATAATCAGGATTTCATAGTTTCAGGGTACCATGACACTATTTAGAGAATAGGTATTAAAAAAAAGTCAAGTTTGTTAAAGTTCAAAAGAAATGCATGTACACTATGAAAACCAAGATACAAACGTATATAATCTAGAAAATAATAAATATATTACTTTTCATTTAATTGGGAATAAGGAATTGTCTTCAACCATGCATTGGGATCTAAAGTTATTTCTTCTGTGAATGGTAATCTTTTTATTGAACTCTGTAGGATTTGTGCAACTGTCGTTCTTTTAAACTTTAAAAAAGTGTCTAAAACCCCCAAGTCAACCCCAGCAGTATACAAAAAACAATTCATCCAAGTGTTTTGAGTTCAATTGAGAACTGAAGTATTGGATATCCTACTTTGATGTTTATATTTCTTTGTAAAAAAACAATTGTGTAGAAACTGATGTAAAGTAGTGAAAGTAATGTATATTATTCAGCCTTAAATACCCTAAAAATTTACATGTCTTAAACTACAATCAAATAGATTATAATTATTATTAAGAGTATGTCACAGTATTACCAGTTTTTTTCTTAAATCCAAACAAGATGACTTAGTTGACAATTTAACATTTAAGTGTCTTCCATTGCTTTCTTTGATTTAATGCAAACATTTATAATCCCAATATTTTTTAATTTAACAATTAATTTTCTTAGGCAGCCTGTGTAACGATTTACACAGCAGTTATCATAATACTCACATTTCAAAGTAAATTCTTTTTGGACAAAATAGTAGCATAAATCCTTGTACGATAAATTGAATCTAAAATATACAGTGTTACAAATTGAAAACAATGTCAAAATAGCTAAATAAAAAATTACAGTTTTAAGTTATCACAGTATATTTGTTCAAATCTCACATCAAATTCCAGTAACCTGTCACACTCAATTTTAAAATAAATCTCAAATATAGAAAACATAAGCAATGACAAAAATATGTTGTAATTAGATAAGAATACAAATAATAAAATATACTTTAGAACTTTTAATGTTTAAAGCTTAATTATACAAACAATTAAAATGATACGAAAACCAAAAATTGTACAACCTGATATGCACATAAATTGTAAAATTATCAATAAGTTACATAAAATGATAATTAAATTGTTTTTTTTTCCTTAAAAGCACAATGGCAATAACAACAATGAAAGTTTTTAAAATATTTGTTTGTTTTGATATTTAATGAGGGCTAAATGGCATATTCTAAATGTGAAAAGAAAAATGGGATGTGCCAATGAGACAACTATCCACCAGAGACCAAACAAGGAACTCTTTCCCCGTCTTTGCTCTTCACCACTTTGCTGATCATATTGACTTTAAAAATAGTGTGTACTATTAAGTAACATTATAAAGTATTTCAGGATATATCTCTGTCTTTGGTCTACATTATAGATTTTTATGCAACACCTTGGGGCATTATGTTTTTCGGTCTGTGCGTCTGTTTGTTTGTCCATCCGTTCGTCCATCCATCTGTCCCGCTTCAGGTTAAAGTTTTTGGTCAAGATAGTTTTTGATGAAGTTGGAAGTCCAATCAACTTGAAACTTAGTACACATCTTCCCGATGATATGATCTTTCTAATTTTAATGCCAAATTAGAGTTGTGACCCCAATTTCACGGTCCACTGAACATAGAAAATGATAGTGCGAGTAGGGCATCCGTGTACTATGGACACATTCTTGTTAATATATATAATGGTGGTATTCATCTGCAAGGTTTAATTCCTAATAAGAAGGAATATATTTCATATAATATAAATATGTAAAAATAATGACATTCATCTGTAAAACAAAATAAAATTGTAAAATATTTCACATAACAAAAAGCACTTTTAAAACATCAACCTTTCCCAAGAAAAAATGTTCATAGCAAAAAATATGTAAAACAAAACTGATTCAACTGTTAATTGTAATTTCTGTAAATATATTTGTAAAACATAATCAAACTTTTGAGTAAACAACCTTAATAGTATTTGTGATATGTGATTAAATGATATGTAAATATATAACAAAAATAAGTACAAATAAGAAATTTATAAATAAAGAACTGAACCAACCCCTCTTGATTTGTTGGTAGAGTTTGATAGTTGATACCAAAGGTATGCAGAGTTTTCTGTAATAATAAAAACAATTGCTATTAAATGTCATTTCTTTTTTCTTTGTTCCACTGTATACCTATGACAATAGGAAATCTCTATACAGAGAAATTTATGAAGAATGTTTTCTTCAAAACTTCAATTTTAAGCAATTCATCAAAGTAAAAAAAATGTCAAAATTTTTAAAGAATAAACATAAGTTCTTGGTTTTTTCAGAAGCTAAACAAAAAATGTCAAAATGACAGAAAACCAGGATTATTAGTGTCATTGTTATAGCAATCAAGGGCCATAACTCCTGAACAACAAAAGAGAAAATCATCTACATCAAACTTCATCTCAATTTTGTCATCAGTAACAACATATTAAAATATGAAAAGTATCAGTTGAACTGTTCATAACTTATTGCACAGAAATGACTTAAAGTGTCATTTTTCAACCGATCAAGGTTTAGAACTACTAAACAGAAAAATTAACAATCGTCACTCTCAAACCTGACCTCCATTTTGTGATCATAAACGACATTCCTCAAATATAAAAAAAATATTAAACGAACGGTTCATAATTTATTGCACAAAAATGACATAAAGTCCCTTTTTCCAATTGATCGAGGAACATAACACCTTAACAGCAAAATTGCAAAATCATCAATATCAAACTTGACCTCGAAATCAGTACCATTCAATTTAACTCCTAATTAATAACTGGATTTACGTCCCAAAGAAAAAAAACATGGTTGAAATCAAATTAAACTAAATGTATAAATATAAATAAGTAATATAAAGCAACAGGACAAAGATTTTCAGTACAATTCTTTTGAAACTGCAGATAAGTAAGTTACAAAAATGTTCAGGATTATCCACTAATATAAAATATTCTTCTTGAGAAAGTTTTATAGATTGACGAATAGTTTCTACAGCCTGGTTATATCCTCCAACGTCATGTCTCTCTGTTATGTACTTTCATGTAATTCTGTGTTGTATACAACAAAACAGCGTAAACATCTAAAACAGCGAGCTTTCATCCCAGATATTATAGATCTAAAAAAATAAATAAATAACAATTATTTGCGCCCAACTTTATTTCTTTTTTATATTGTTTCAAATTTAAACATTAAAAGACATTTACATTTTGCAACACAGACAAGCATTAAATCAGCATATACTTACATATACTTACATATACTTACATATACTTACATGAACTGAATTATAAAGAAAAGTTGTACAAAAGCAAAATCATATTCGATGCTTTAAACAGAAATATGGTTTCTAACAAAATTAACTTCTTATCATTATTATTATTATTAAATATTATCCTGCAATTGACCTTTCTTCTATACAAATACAGGTGTAGGGATAACATTAAGTGACAAATATATAGAATATGTTGTGAGCGACTGATTATATATTCAAATTATTGTTAACATCACAGTTCAGTTTGAGATCCTAATCACAATCCCATTAAGTTATATTTGTACATTGTAGGAAAATATAAAATTACAATGTACGAATATTGTATACGTATCTGTATTATTGCTTCAAGTAAACCAATTAACTATAAGGATAGGAAAAGTTAAAAATAGATGGAAGCGTTAATCAAGGAATAACAGTACTGTAGTTGCACAGTTTAATAGTATTTTGATGCTCACATATGCAGTTTATCTGGCAATGCGTAACTGAAGGTTATTTTGTTACTTGTGCAATTCAACTTTGGATAATTTCTCATTAATAGCATATTTTAGATAGGCGTTGTTTTATTTAAGATTATATATTTGATACAATCAAACATTTGTGGATTCCGGCAATTCAATATGGTGTCAAGACATACATGTCAAATTTTAGCCAATGTAAAAAATTGTTACATAAAGATTGCATTAGTATGAAATATAGTTTGAAGTGGACAAGAACAGCTTTTTAATAGAATGATCTACTTCTAAATTATATATGTCTATGACAGAAACATAAATGCGAAATTAATTCTGTAAGTAGTTCTATGTTATTTACTTATAACTCATCAGCAATGTTAGAAATAATGATTATGGGAGTATTTCATTGAAAACTACAGAATTTTGATGAAAAATGAGGTCACAAAATTACAACTCAATTATACTTAGTAAATATTGTGACCAAAAAGATGAAATGAAAAAAAAAACAAGGAACGTTTTTCAATTCTAATTCAGCAATGAAATTTATCTTTATATAATTCTAAAGTAAAAATTATTATGACTTAATACGATAACCAACAGTGGAAAACATTTGCAGCTATTCATTATATTAGTAAGAGCTAGTTGTGTTTATAATGTCATATCATTAGTTAAAGCAAAGGTTTTACCAAAAACAAGCTTACCAACAACATTGACTATCACAATTACATGGAAAGCTGTACAAATACAGAAAATAAAGTTAAAATAAAATATCTTTAAAACACTGATAAGCTGACAGTATGCAGGGTAAATGACAATGTTAATAAATCTACTTTTTGTTGAAAATGTTTATGACACAACTTATCACAATCTTATTCAGGGTAATATAAGCCAGTATATAATACCTTTGAAATATCAATATAATAATCTCATGAAATTTTAACAAAAATGAAAAGCTCTTTTCCTCTTAGTCTAAGGAACTTGTATTCATTCAAAAATAAAATAAGTTTGAGTATCATCCCTCATGAAGTGACTACCCTACAATTCTACATATCACTTTCACACTACAACTCAACTTTATAAAATTCCCAACAAAATATGAAGCAGAATTGTCGGATAGATAAACAAAAGGACAAACAGGCACTCTAATGAGTAGAAAGGTATTTAAGCACATATATACTCATTCATCCAATATACATGATATAGTAGTTGATTAAAAACACTTATGACAATATAAGAGGAGCATTAGGTCCTCTTGCGCTTAAAATCCCCCATTGAGATTTTGAAAAGTTGGCAGATATGAACCAATGGTGTGCCAACTTTGTGATTGCAGTATACCACCCACTCTTGAGTAATATCAAAATGCTGTTTATTCATAATATTAATTTCTCATTTCTTCTATTGAAAATTTTTATATAAGATATATGCATACAAATTGAAATATATCATCTCTTCCAATTTAATCTCTGACGCTGCACATGATTGAATAGAATATGATGATAAAAGCTCCTGTTCTACCACAATTCACCATTTCTAATCCCACAAGCCTACTATTTACCATCATTAGATTTACTTCAACTGAGTTGCATCAAGATCAGTACTACTGTACATCACAAATGAAAATTAGAAAGAATAAAATCAAATATCAACATTTACCATTTGACAAAATTAACTACTAAATAAAATTTACTTATTTTCTGTTTAGTAACCACTTTATACTTGAAGAGTAATTTTTTAAAGCAATAATATTCCGTATGATCTAAATTTGATCTTAGATTCAAACATTCATATTGTGAGAGGTCCATGATTTCTTCACAATAAAGAATCCTTGCAATAGCAGTCAAAATATTCTGCTCTTCACCATATCTAATACACATTTTAGACCCTACTACAGATTTATACAGTCCTGCATGTTTGATTTTAAATGTTATATAACTTAAGAAATGTGCATACCTTCACAATTTTGCACGGACCACTAGAACATTTGTGATGCACCAGTAAATTTTGTATAGTGTTTTAACATGAATTTAAAGTTATACCTTTTATTCATTTCTTCTGAGATCTGTTCTAATGATTTGCCTTTAGTCTCTGGTACAGTGGTAAATATAAATATAACTGATACTATGCATACTGAACTGAAGAAAAAGAATGTCCCTGATACTCCAAATCCATCTGAAAATGAGAAAAAATAATATAGTATCACACATGTAAAAATGTTTCTAATAAGGGTTCTTTTATTTCAAAGACATAAAAGGTCATATCAGAATTCAAAAATGACTTTTAAAAAAGATTACTGCTTATAATTGAAGGAGGGGCCTCAGCTGGCCCAGTGGTCTAAGAAGGGGCCTCAGCTGGCCCAGTGGTCTAAGGAGGGGCCTCAGCTGGCCCAGTGGTCTAATGAGGGGCCTCAGCTGGCCCAGTGGCCTAAGGAGGCCCAAGGAGGGGCCTCATCTGCCCTAGTGGTCTAAGGAGGGGCCTCAGCTGGCCCAGTGGTCTAAGGAGGGGCCTCAGCTGGCCCAGTGGTCTAAGAAGTTTTACTATGGTGTACACTGAGGTTGCAAGTTCAAACCCTGCTCATAGCTGATGCCTATGACTACCATCTTTATTGACTGACAGTATAAAGGTCAGTGGTTCCTCTGGGCACTCTAGCTTCCTCCCCTAATAATAACTGGTCATCATGATATAGCCAAGAGTGCTGAAAGTGGCATTAAACACGAGCAATCAATCAATCCATATCTTTGAAGGACATGCCTGGTTCCTTATAATTGACTGAATTTTAAATTTCAAAAATTGAAATGTAATAACTACAGTAATAGTTGATGATTAAAATACTCTGATCTGTTCAGGATGGCTATTAAGGATAAATACAGTAAGTATTAGATCATTGTAGGAAGGAAATATCAATATAAGTCGATGCATTAAATAAATTATTTTTGAGAACTGCTTTATATACATCATATTACAGACCACAGTGATTGTTGACCTGTAAATAATTTAATTGTTTCTAGCATTTGCCATTCCATTCAATTAGAATTACATAAAATCTTTTAGTTCTATGTAAAAAATATTTTTTCTAAAACTGAGAAATTCAATATTGATTCACAATATGAAGTCAAAGTAGTATTCTAATGCAATCATTTTATATCAATGGTTCTGATTGGATGACAACAAAATCTATCTATCTATCTGTAGCTAAGGGATGCCAACATTTTGAATTCTGGAATGTATTGACATGCTATTTTTATTACATTTTGTGGCAAACAAGGCTGAAAAAGCCCAGTGTTTACATTTAACACCGGAAGCATACATATGAAGTCACCTTGTTCAATTGCAAAGGACAATAACATCATCTTGTAGAACTTTCATTTTATGTAACTTTTCACCAAAGTACCGACTGAAATGGACTAATTTATTTATTTTTCATTTGAATAGAGATAACCTTATTGTATTTGAAGCTTGGTCTACGTAAAACATGGGTTTTTACTGTCGGAAATATCCGTTTACCAGCTCCGCTACATGTCCCTAGGTAAACTCAATTTGCAACACGAAGGACAAGCTTCAAATATAATACATGCAGTTATCTCTTAATTCAAAAATTTAAGTTCCACCATAGAATATAAGAAATATTGTTTTGATTTTAGATGATTTCTTTTATTGTTAAAACATTATTACACTTACAAATTTTTATAGAATAACATTATATATGTCTTTCTGAGGTTTTTTGTTGTACTGGGATGATGTCTGGTTGATGTTTAAAACACATTCTCTTCTCCTTTAAATCTAAGCATTAATCTTATTATATTTTTAATTCCTTAAACTTTAGACATTCATCTTACTTATCATATCTAAAAACACAGCAGATATAACTAAGTTGGTCCCCCAGTTGAGAGTTGTTGTCAAGGCTATTGCACGTCCTCTAATGGCTGAAGGAAAAATCTCACTCAGTACCAACCAACTAACTGTCAACAAAAAAAACATGTATTATGTGAATGATGAATTAGTGTTAATGTTCTTAATGATATATAAGAAAATATCAATTTCATAAAACTTTCCTTACTGCAACTAAAACTTTCCTTAAAATTATTTTAGTACCATGTATCAAGAAACTTCTCCGAAGCAATTGAGAATGTTCCCTATTGTTTAATCACTAGACTGTCAATGAAAGCCGTTGGTGTTATTTTTGGTAAATGTTGGGTTAACTTTTTGAAGTTCATCCAACAACTTCTTTGATTTAAAATTTACTATATGATGTTGACAGCATATAATATACAAAGTACTGTAAATTCAGAAATTATTGCGTGCATTTATTATTGCGATTTTGTCATTTTAGACTAAATGCGATTTTAATTATTGCGATATTGAGAAAAATCCTGTTTAATTCATATAAAAAATTTCAAAATGCGAGTTTAAATTATTGCGATTATAACTCTGTCGCATTTTCGCAATAATAAAAACATCGCAATAATTTCTGAATTTACAGTATTATTTTCTAATTTCTAGACTATTTTCCTGTAAATTTGAATTGTGTGGTTATCTCAAGTCATCTTTACTTATACACATATTGTCAAATTACAAAAAAGTTAGTTTCTTACTTGGACCAAAACTAAATCCATAAGCAGCAACAAATGTAAGGAGAGCTGTAAAGGCCAGAACTCTTCCAGCATCATCTCCGTGTAATTTAAATGGTAAAATGGGATAGACTGTTGTGTTTGTAGTAAAGTTTGATATCACAGCATTTTCTGTCACATGAGTCTGGATTTCTAACGATGAATTTAACAATACTGAAGTTGAATTAAATCTCTGACAAAACATATCCTCTTGACAAGGATTCGTTATTGACTGTCCTGATTCATAATGAGTCACTAATCCTAGAACTAGTAATGACATCCCCATCAAAGTTGCTCCTACCAATAAGAACTTTCTACGTCCCCATCTATCTACACATAGTAAAGCTACTATTGTCATAAGAACCTTCAAAAAAGTAAATGATGTCATTTTTATTGCAAATAGTTTAATTCATTTTATCATAATAAAATAATGTTTGATCAAGTGTTTACAGAAAAATGTTAGCATAAGTTTATTCAATTGCATCAACACAAATGTTATTTGAATTAAAGTGATAGGCCTTCCGATTAATTCATTCAATAAACCATGATTCAACAAATACTGAGTCAATAAATACCTTTATGAGACAACAGCTGTACAAAGGATCTTCAAACTTTTATAATAGAAATTAAGAATGAAATATTAATGAAATATTATGGATACCTTAACACCACCTAATCCAACTGTGGCTAGAGTGGCAGCTGAATCAGTGTGGAATCCTACAGCTTCTAATATGGTGGAGGCATAATATAAAACATTGGGTTGCCCAGTAAACTGAAATAAAACAGATCAAAACTAATAAGAAAGTTTTTATCTATATCCATTTTAAATAGAAGAGAAAAATGACATTTTTTGATAAATGGACTACCTTTCTCAATCTTGCTTTTAAAAAATAGAAATCTGAGATTTTTAAAAACCAGTTCTACACTTGATAAAGTGAACTACTGTATGCGACAAGTATGACTGTTATGCTCCAAAATCAACATGTGGTTACAGATTCAATCATATTTCAACAATTGTAAAAGAAAAATATGTATTTATATCATGGCTTCCAAAACAGTCGTGTTGTCTGGACAAGCTTGGGAATTTGTATTCTCGTCCAGTGTGCCAAGCCTGAACTGGACTTCATATAAGGATTTGCCATTTTAACAAAATTTAAAAATTTTAAGTTTAAGATAAATAAAAATTTGGAAGCCCTGATATATATAGTGATGTTTCTATTCCAACAACTGACTTGATCAGTTAAATATACATTCAGCATCCTTGTATCCTTAAGTGGTGCCATCATATATGCAGGTCATGTCTGAATTTCTGTTATGAGCTCCAATGGTTGTTCATACTTACAAAGATTAGCTAATTGATAATGACTTCAAAATTTAGACATGTTCCATCTTTGTGGTTCAAGTGTAGTGTACCAGCAAAATTTACAAAGTGTCCTTCAACTTTTTACCTATTGTCCTATTTTGACAACAAGAATAAGAATTTAACAAAAGTTGTGTTGTAAGAAGACTAGCCCTACTCAAATTAAAGTTTCATTTCAGTGTTATCAACTCTACCTGTTGGAAGAAGACAAGACCTGCTCCAATAAACAGCCTCCCTCTCATGTTATCAGACTTGGAAAATATATCACAGCAATGAGTATTCTAAAAATAAATATCACAGTACAAATAAGAGTATAATATAAAGGTAATATATTGAATAGACTACAAAGAAGAGGTTGAATCAAAGCACTGTTGAAGCTGTGAGCCAACTAATCTAACTTGATTGCAAAAGCAGCATATCCATTTATGTATTAAATATTTAAACAATTCTTTACAAATGTTTTGTTTAAATAATAATTGGAATCTCTCTTTTTAAATAATGTTGATGCAACTTGGTTAAAAAAATCTCCTCTTTTTGATTATTTTATTATACATGTAGCAGAATTTCTGTTATTTAAATGAAGTATAATCTACAGTTGAAATATCAACTATTCATAATTTTGCATAACTGAGATTGAATTGTCTCCCTTTCTACATATTTTTAAAAGTGAGAAATCAACTAAAGCTTGTACTGAATTTTATTCAATTACTTCCACAACCATACAATACATTTTACTAATTTGTCGATATTTCCAAGGAAAATCAGTTATAAAAAGTCTGAAGGCACAAGAATACAGGTGAAAACAGGTCAAATGCCAAAATTATGAGTTATTTGATCACCTGGGCAACATTCCAGGTGACCGGTATGCATTTAGAATACCATTTTAATTTTTTATCAACAGTTTAAATATGGTATCTTACATTTTCACTCCAATCAAAAGGAAATATATAACCTTTTGTAAATTTTGATCAACATAGGAACTATATCCAAGTGTATTTAATTAAAATGATAATTAGCTTCAACTTTTTTGTCATTTGGTCTCAGGCAGAGAGTTGTTTCATTGGCAATCATACCATGTCTTCTTATTTTTATATATATTTTTTTTTCATTTAAGGGCTAATGACATTTACACATCCATACTGGCTCCCAAATTATGGTAACATTAATAAAATGCTCCGCTGGGTGCAGCTTGATACGACCGCAGAGGTCGAACCCTGAACAGTTGGGGCAAGTATGGACACAACATTCAAGCTTGATACAGCACTGAATTTGGATTGTGATTAAATATTTGACACAGCATAGGTTTCTGACACAGAATGAATGTGGTCTAAGAACTTAAAAATTTTTAATTTACCTATTCAAACCATATCATTATTATTTGCTTTTATATATAAATCAGAAATAACAAATTTAAAACGGAAAATTTTAAAGAAATAAATGTGGATAGTGTCCACATGTGGACGCAGATGATGCCCCCGCTTGCATATCATATAGTTATAAAGGGACATAACTGAAGAACAGTAAAAGTGACGCTACCCAAATTTGAACTTGATCTGAGTTTTGTGTGCAAGTCTCATAACATTTGGTTGAGGCTAACTTAAGTAGAGAACAGAAACTAAAAATTCAGCAATTTTTCTATTTATAAAGGGGCATAACTCAATAATGGTTAAAGTGACACTACCCAAATTCAACTTGATCTGTGTTTTATCAGTGGAAGTCAAAATTAAACATTGCATTGTATAAAGCATTGATTGTAGTTGATTCAACTATAATCATGGACAAAGGAAGATAACTCCAATTTTAAAAATAACTTGATATTTAGAAGAAAATAAAAATTTTGCAATTTTTTCCATTTATAAAGGGTCATAACTCTAGAACGGTTAAAGTGACGCCACCAAGATTCAAACTTGATCTGTGTTTTGTGGTAATAAGCATTGTGTATAAGTTTCATAACATTTGGTTGAGGCAAACTTAAGTTAGAGAACAACAACTAAAAATTTTGCAATTTTTCCATTTATAAAGGGGCATAACTCTAGAACGGTTAAAGTGACGCCACCATAATTCAAGCTTGATCTGTGTTTTGTGGTAATAAGGCGGGGGCATAAAAAAAAGGAAAAAAAGGATAAAAAAATCCCCCCCCCCCCCAATTTTTTGAACCCCCTAATGATTCATCACCCCAAAACTCAATCCCAGCCTTTCCTTTGTGGTATGGTACCTTGCAGTACAATTTCAGAGAGATCCATACACTTGAACACAAGTTATTGTCTGGAAACTAGAAAAATGCTTGTTTTTAGGCCCCTTTTTAGCCCCAAATTCCTAAATGTTTAGGGCACTTACCCCCAAACTCAAACCCAGCTTTCCCTTTGTGATATGGAACCTTGTAGTACAATTTCATAAAGATCCATACACTTACACACAAGTTATTGTCCTGAAACTAAAAAATTGCTTGTTTTTTGCCCCTTTTTGGCCCATAATTCCTAAAATTTTGAGGCAATTACCCCAAAAATCAATCCCAGCCTTCCCTTTGTGGTATGGTACCTTGCAGTACAATTTCAGAGAGATCCATACACTTGAACACAAGTTATTGTCTGGAAACTAGAAAAATGCTTATTTTTGGCCCCTTTTTGGCCCCTTATTCCTAAACGTTTTGGGAAATTACCCACAAACTCAATTCCAGCTTTTCCTTTGTGATATGGAACTTTGTAGTACAATTTCAGAAAGATCTGTACACTTACACACAAGTTATTGTCATGAAACTAGAAAAATGCTTGTTTTTTGCCCCTTTTTTGGCCCCTAATTCCCAAAATTTTGAGGCAATTACCCCCAAAATCAATCCTAGCATTCCCTTTGTGATATGGAATCTTGTGGTACAATGTCAGAGAGATCCATACACCAACACACAAGTCATGTCTGGAAGTTACAAAAATGCTTATTTTTGGTCCCTTTTTGGCCCCTAATTCCTTAACTGTTGGTACCATAACCCCCAAAATCAATCCCAACCTTTCTTTTGTGGTATTGAACCTTATGGTAAAATTTCATAGAGATCCTTTCACTTAAACTAAAGTTAGAGTGCGAAAACCAATGTGTCTTCGGACAACGACGACGACGACGACGACGACGCCAACGTCATACCAATATACGACCCCAAAATTTTTTTGCAGTCGTATAAAAAAGAATTTGTATACAGGTGGACACTATATAGAGGTAACTTATTTAGTTAATTTCCCTAGGACTAATTATTTTTGGTCACTCTAGACAGGAAGTATATTAATCTAGACAGGTATGACTCTGATTTTGTACCTTTTCATAATAAACAGCTGTTCTGATGTTATCTATTTCTTTCTCTACATTACATCCTCCTCTTAGCTTCAATAATACAGCTTCAGCCTAAAAATAAACAACAACAGATGTAGAATTACACTACAAAAAGTTTATTTCATCTTTTCTTATAACAGTTACAATGAATAAGGTATTTACCAAACTCTTTATCAATTTATATGTTTTCATGGCCATTATTTAAATTTAAGGGAAAAATGCAATGTTCTCTCACTGTTTAGAAATTCCAGATCTTTGGTATTCACTTTTAACCACTTAACAATTAACTGTCATAAAGTATCTCCACTGAAAAATTGGGACAATGATTACAATAGCAAAGAAATGAAATCAAACCTTAGATTGTTGTTTATGTAACATCAGAAATCTTGGACTGGGTGGTAAAAATATCATCCCAATACCCTGTATAACAGCTGGGATCACAGAAATAACAAACATATATCTCCTGAAATAACAGAAAATATCATCCCAATACCCTGTATAACAGCTGGGATCACAGAAATAACAAACATATATCTCCTGAAATAACAGAAAATATCATCCCAATACCCTGTATAACAGCTGGGATCACAGAGATAACAAACATATATCTCCTGAAATAACAGAAAATATCATCCCAATACCCTGTATAACAGCTGGGATCACAGAAATAACAAACATATATCTCCTGAAATAACAGAAAATATCATCCCAATACCCTGTATAACAGCTGGGATCACAGAAATAACAAACATATATCTCCTGAAATAACAGAAAATATCATCCCAATACAATATATAACATCTGGGATCACAGAAATAACAAACATATATCTCCTGAAATAACAGAAAATATCCTCCCAATACAATATATAACATCTGGGATCACAGAAATAACAAACATATATCTCCTGAAATAACAGAAAATATCATCCCAATACCCTGTATAACAGCTGGGATCACAGAAATAACAAACATATATCTCCTGAAATAACAGAAAATATCATCCCAATACCCTGTATAACAGCTGGGATCACAGAAATAACAAACATATATCTCCTGAAATAACAGAAAATATCCTCCCAATACAATATATAACATCTGGGATCACAGAAATAACAAACATATATCTCCTGAAATAACAGAAAATATCCTCCCAATACAATATATAACATCTGGGATCACAGAAATAACAAACTTATATCTCCTGAAATAACAGAAAATATCATTCCAATACAATATATAACATCTGGGACCACAGAAATAACAAACATATATCTCCTGGAATAACAGAAAAATACACTGTTTGACATATATTGTTGTAATGCTATAAAATATACATTCTTAAATACATTGTGTTCCCTATGATAAAACATAACAAACATACTGACTTCTTCCAGAAAAACTGACAAAAACATGATTTACCTTTATCTTGTAAAAAGACACCAAATATTAAATTTGTGAAGTAAGAAATATAAATTAAAGTGAATAACACTTAACAAAATATAGAAAAACATAAAATCCTAAGTTTCTGTCTTAACTTACATTATGTTTTTGTTTATTATTATATATATTTCTGGGATAAGTATTGCTGGATTTTTTTTTAATTTTTCATAATTTGTTCAGTGATCCCTTGACATACATTGTATAGATACTAGTCTGACATATTGTATAGATACTAGTCTGACATAATGTATAGATACTAGTCTGACATAATGTATAGATACTAGTCTGACATATTGTATAGATACTAGTCTGACATATTGTATAGATACTAGTCTGACATGTTGTATAGATACTAGTCTGACATATTGTATAGATACTAGTCTGACATAATGTATAGATACTTGTCTGACATATTGTATAGATGCTAGTCTGACATGTTGTATAGATACTAGTCTGACATAATGTATAGATACTAGTCTGACATTATGTATAGATACTAGTCTGACATAATGTACAGATACTAGTCTGACATGTTGTATAGATACTAGTCTGACATAATGTATAGATACTAGTCTGACATAATGTATAGATACTAGTCTGACATATTGTATAGATACTAGTCTGACATAATGTATAGATACTAGTCTGACATATTGTATAGATGCTAGTCTGACATATTGTATAGATACTAGTCTGACATATTGTATAGATACTAGTCTGTTGAAGATGACTGTGTCTTGCCCTGTAGGTGTTAGTTTGTTTTTTATGTATTGCATTCAAATTATTGTTTACCCTCCATCTCCTTTTATTCATATGCATTATTAAAGATAACTATAATTCATAAGTACTCATTTAGTAAACTGAAAGCATTGTAACAAAGTTATTCATTTATTTCTTGGTAAGACTATGTATTTACCTTGTAACATGTTAACCAAAGTCATACTATTGTTTTAGCAAATTTAATTTCTAGAAAAATTTTAATATTTTCCCAGCAATCACTAAATATTTTATCTATACATATTTGTTTATTGATGCAATTCATTTTCTGGTTCAGATGACATTAAATAAAATTCCTATTCGAAAAATAATGTGATTTGTTTCTTTAATATATAGTTTGTCTAAATTTCAAAACATTCACTAAATATTTAGAATTTATTACAGTACAATAAGAGAATACTATATAATAGATAATACAAACCATCCATTTTCAATATCTATGCATGCATAATTAACTAAGTAAGCAATCAGTAATCCACATGTTATACCAAGTTCATTTAAAGACACCAATAAACCTCGTCTTTTCTGAAAAAAAATATATTTCAGTGAGAAATATGACAGTACATATGGAACCGAAGTATAAACTTCTTGATATGTATGAAATATTTGCCTCTGAACATTAAACAAACAACATCCAATCAATACTTTTAATTATAGCAACTCTGAAGCTGCTACAATGGAGAAAGTTCACAAGTTTCTGCTATAAGTACAATTTTTTTCTATATTTTGATTTTTCAAACGGGGAAATTTTATAGAATGCTGTTCAACCTAAATGTCAATAAAAATAACTTATCAACCAGCATTTTAAAGTCTCACGTGTTTTAATGTGTGCAGGTTTTTTTCTGTGTTTTTTTCTGGTTTTTTGTATATTTCTTTCTCTATAAGGCAAGGTCATGTATGTTAACCTTTAGCTGACTTTTTTTGGTTGCAGTCTTGTTATTTTATTCCATTACTTATGTATAAAACAATGTTCATACATCTCAATGTGTATTTTTTAATAACAGATTTCTACGTACAATATATATTTAAACAACTCTAATACACATATTTTTCACTTACAGCTGGAGCAATTTCTGATATATAAATACATTCTGCAATGGCTGACACAGACACAGCAAATCCTAATACAACACGACCAATTACCTGTAAAGTAAAAGTAAATAACATAATCTGAACAACTGTTCTGAATAAATTGAAACTGACATTGAAGAATTTATAAGAAATTTCAATAAGAACAAGACAATAGTATTCTTTTTCAAATAGATTAAACAATAGGAGGAAACATCCCTTTTAATTAACATTGGTATCTTCCACCTATCTAAAAAAAAGTATGAAATATATATTATAAACACATTAATATTCATTGCACATAGATTTTTTGAGAGCAGTATCAATACATACAACAACATAAAAGACAGGGGCTCCTGCAGCTATAACAGCACCAATGGTAAAGATACCAGCATTTACTATAATGGTAAAACGTCTTCCAAACCAGTCTATTATCATACCTGTAGAGAAAATTCTATAAGTTAGCATAAGAAATCTTCAACCAAAAAATAAGATAGTGATATCACTGAGAAGATTAACCATGAGACAAATGTCAGAAAATTAAACATGGGACAAATGTCAGAAAATTAGTTGGGACAAATACTTGTAGAAAATATTGTATTTACATGGAAATAGCTAGTTTAGCAAAAAATTGTTTATACAGGAAATTTTTAGAGGATGGTTATTAATTCTTAACCTCTAGATTAACTTCTGTATTTCAAAGGTGCAATATTCCATTGTTGGTGTTTTTTGAGAGGGTCAGTATTTACACAACATTTAGAAACATTTAAGACCTTCATATATCTCAGCACCTGCAAAGACATTTGTTTAGATAAAAATGGGTCAAGGGCTCAATAAGTTGAGTAGCACAAAATTTTTCTAAACAAAGTGTATGCTTTGCTTGTTATCTATTTCCCTCATGAAGAGATATTTTTAATATCAAACAAAACTAAACAAACTGTGTTAAGAACGTAAGTTAGTTATTTTATAGAAATAAGAGAACAGAGTTCCAATATCCCCCATCTATGCACATATCTATTCTGTTGGGAATCAAAACTCTCCAATCTACTTATTTATGTTCTTTTCAACTTTTTCATAAATATCCTACATGAAATTTAAGCATCAGATTGCTTACAATGCAATTTTCTATATAATTTTTATTTCAAAGGGACATCATTAAGCTTAAAATAATTTATCTGAACTGATATTGAATTGGTCAAAGACATAACTGATATAAACCTTTGATATAAATTTCGTATTAAAATCTTACAAGAAATTTAAACTTGAAAACCCTTATAAAGTGGTACCAAACACCTTGACTAAAATTAATTTGGCTTGTTTAATTTTCATAAAATTTTAACAAAATATTTACTTTGACCCTTTGACAAAAATATCAAAATTTCCAAATACTTAATCCACACTTTATCGGAAAAATTTCATTGGATATATAGCAGTTTGACAAACACTAATTTTGATCTTTGAGAAGCTTAATATTTCCTTAACAATAGAACGTGATTAAAACATTCAGCTGATTTTTACAGAGTTATCTCCCTGTAGTGTTATGTACCACCTTATAATGTAGTTTTCCATATAATTTACATTTCCAAGACATAATGACTGTAAATATATTGTGAGTGCTCATTCAACCACACAAAGTGAGTTTACCATAACAAAAATAGGTTTAATAAAAAAAAAAGTTAGATACCAGATCTAAATGCATTGTAAAAGTGACTTGTGTACCATGTAGATTAGATAGATAATGGATAAAACTGAAAAATGCCAGTGGGCAAAACGTCGTAAAAATGGTTTAATTACTACAATATAAAATTTGTTCTATATTGGAATTTCTAAAAATGAATAAAATTAAGTGTCACAATGTGAAAGAATGGGTTAAATTTCAAAATTTTCAATTATATAACACCCACAGGTGTATACTTGTGAACAAGCATTCTTTAAAACTTCTGAAAATGTTAGAAAAATATTGAACAAATTTGAGAACTCATACAAATATGTGATCTGGATTAAAAAAGGAAAGAAATATCACAAAAAAGTACCAACACACTGTAGAAGTTGAGGATATAAAATTTGATTCTTCTGTTTAAAATTTTGATAAAAAATTACTACATTTCCAAATCTGATAAAGAGGGAAAATTTCAGTATATTCATGTATACACCCACATTTTCCCAAATGGCCAACCAAATACTGACCTCCGAAACAAGATCCAAGTAAAGCTCCAAATAACATAGAGCTAACAACTAGCTCCTGATCGAAACATGACAGACAGAACTTTTCCTTTAGTTGTAATATGGCACCAGATATAATACCTGTGAAAAATAAATGCTCAAAAATTCATCTATAATTGAAATAGTTATCACACTCTATCTTTATAAGGAAAAGTAGTACTTGAATTGAATAAGTAAAATGCTTAGGAACATTTTTAACATATAAAAAGTATAGGTAATGCTGAAAACACATTATTAACAGTGCCTTGTGATAATTAATAGCCTGACCAGTTTCTGTCCTTCATGGTCCTTCTTCAGAGGCAGAATGATGGATTGATAGTGACACACTATGTATGCAGTGTCTGAACATTTTTAACATACATTCTGGGTATTTACAGAATGATGAATTGATAGTGACACACTATGTATGCAGTGTCTGAACATTTTTAACATACATTCTGGGTATTTACAGAACGATGGATTGATAGTGACACACTATGTATGCAGTGTCTGAACATTTTTAACATACATTCTGGGTATTTACAAATGATCTGAATGTGTTATCCTATTCAACTAGACAAACTTTGGACATAATTCACATTTTCAAAATGTTTTATTTTGTACTAATTGTCTGTACTATGATCCTGTTCTCTTTTCCTCAAATATTACATCATGGAATGAGACTTATCACCGAAATTTGAACTTACATAAGCAACACTGCAGGTGTCACATATGGAGCAGGATCTGCTTACTTTTCAAAGCACCTGTGATCACCCCCAGTTTTAGGTGGGGTTTGTGTTGCTCAGTCTTATTTTTCTATGTTGTATTTTGTAGACTGTTGTTAGTGTTTTTCTTTAACATACAATAACCTTATCAGTATACCTATATCATATCCAAACAGTATTCCTCCGAGTGAAGCCATTACGGAGGCAGCCAGGACATACAGTGATCCACATGGTGACCTAGACTTCCTGTGGTCCACGATAAGTTTGGTACGAGGTGATGTCTCCATGTGGACAGGTGGGTAATGAAAGGCTGATTGATCACTGTCAGAACTTCTACTGTCCTGGTGTTGTAAGCAGTATTCTGACAGCAGTAACTCTGAAGTATTCAAGATACAAGGAGGATTAAAGTTAAGGCTGCCTTCATGTGGATATATTGAAATGATTTTATAGCCGAAACTGTTTTAATAAAATATCAGTGACATGTAACAAAAAATGGATATAACATGTAGTTTTAATCTTGGAACAGATGATATTTATTCTATTTTTTTGTTTTGTTCATTTTTAAAGTTAAACATACATTATTTTTAGTTAATTTGACTTTAAGTTGTAATTTCTAGTCATTATCATTAAACAGACATCATAAAGTAACATCTGTTCATTGCATATCTAAAGGAAATTCAATAATTCAATATTTATGTAACAGATCATTGTCTTATATATTTGTACAGGTTATTTTCAATATTTGCACATGCAAAGCTGCATACCTCAATACCCATTACTGCATTACCAGCCAAGGCATTTATAAATATATATTTTAAAACTAATTACTCTAATTTACTCTATATGTATACCAACTGAATGCATTAGTATTTGTGTATGACTGTAAAAAAGAAAGGATTTGTTTGGTGGAAATGAGTTTGTAAAAGAATAGTGAACCAACAAACAAATGTAATTTTTCACCATATACATATGTACATAAATATATTATCAACTTTATAAAGCCACAATGAAATAAGATCTGATAACTGATCTTAAAGTATCTGTAAATTTTGATATCTTTTCAGAAAAGTAGCTTTCCAAGGAAGTCGGTATGGTATGGTCCTTAAAAAACATTTAAAAACAATTGAAGAATTATAAATCTTTTCATTTTAGGTGCCAAATTACAACTCCTATCATTCCTTCTATTTTTAAGAAAGCTTTTGTGCTATACATGTTTTATCAAATTGTATTTCTTTACAAGCAATATTTCACCATTTACTATTATTCAATAATCACAAAAGACTTTGACTATGCAATGTTTACGTTAATTAAATAAACTTTCAAAATGTGAGTATGTTAAATAAGAGTGTAATATAACTTCTTTACCTTCCTCTTCCTCTTTGTCCTTCATTGTCGTTTAGATATTATCACTTATCACGGCGAATTTATTCATTATCATTTTTACAGATCTCCTAAATGGATTGTAAACATGGAAAACAAATTACAGGTAGTATCTATGAGGTTGATTACATTTCACCATCAAGGTTATTTTCTAGTCATTGTATTTTATCACAATTTTCTTCCATCTTCAAAAACAAGTTTTAGTACCAATTTACACTTGACATATGAATATATCTACTAATTTGATTTGACTTTCAATTATACTTTTTTTTCCCAGTACAATTTAATTTTGGACTTTATCTTACATGATCCCAAGGTAAATACAGTAAAATCAATCAGAACGGACAAATAAAATCCTTCAGGTAAAATTTTGATGGAAAGAAAATGATTTATTAGAAAGCTGATATTTTCTTAAAGGAAACTTAATCAGATATAATTCTTCAATGAATACTTCAAGATTCACATGCGATCAAAATTTGTCATACATATAATTATTAACTTTAATTCATATGAATTGAAGTGTTGCATGCATTTTTTTCTAGCTTATAAACTCTCAGTATGTAGAAATATGACCTAAAACATTTTCTTTTATAGGGTTACATTGTATAGAGAGTGTTTTTAAAAAATTCGTAAGGGATCCACGGAACCCAGTGTCTCGCCTACTTTTGCTGTTAATCGCAGGCTCAATAAAAATGAGGAAAAAAATTAATAAAAATATTTCTCTCTATACCATCTTTTGATTGTAAGTAGCTTCTGTCCAAGTTTGGTACAAATCCAGGATAGTTTATGAATCTAATAAATGTTTTAAAAACTTAAACTGCAGACTGTATGTAATGTTAACTGGAAGAAAAACTAAGTCCATTTATAAGTAAAATACGGAAAAAATTGAACAAAATTTTAACAAAATTTCCTTCTAGATACTAGCTTTTAATCATAAACAAGCTTCTGTCCAAGTTTGGTACAAATTCAGGATAGTTTAAGAAAGTTGCTAAAATTTTAAAAACTTTAACCACAGAGTGAATGTAATGTTAACTGGCAGAAAAACTAAGTCCATTTATAAGTAAAATACGGAAAAAATAGAATTTTTTTTTTACAAAATTTACTTCTGGATACTATCTTTAAATCATAAACAAGCTTCTTTCCAAGTTTGGTAGAAATCCAGGATAGTTTAAGAAAGTTATTAAAATTTCAAAAACTTTAACCACAGACTGAATGTAATGTTAACTGGCAGAAAAACTAAGTCCATTTATAAGTAAAATACAGAAAAAATGGAATTTTTTTTTTACAAAATTTACTTTTGAATATTATCTTATGATCATAAACAAGCTTCTGTCCAGGTTTGGTAGAAATCCAGGATAGTTTAAGAAAGTTATTAAAATTTCAAAAACTTTAACCACAGAGTGAATATTTGTGGACGCCGCCGACGACTACGACGCCCACGGAATGTAGGATCGCTATGTCTCGCTTTTTCGACAAAAGTCGAAGGCTCGACAAAAATGGTTCCATCAACAGAAAAAATATACCAGTGAGCTATTCAAACTGTCATAATATTGTGCATTTCACCCCTAAGACAAGACTTGAAACTATCCTTTTAATATAATATTTCAAAGAACCAATGGGCCAAGATTTATTTTTCGATTACTAATGTAAGTTGTGTGGAATAAGCAGATATAACTTTTATCTGAACTGGAAATATGTAGATAAACATACATGTATAAATTACGTAGGTTTGTGACTGCATTATGATGCTCTTGAAATCTCTTATATCAATTGGCAATGCCAATTACTAAATGCCACGAGATACCCATTCACTTATAATGGGAAAAAACCTGACAACCAAATATAAAGAATTTCTTAAAATAGTCCATTATGCTATGAAAAATCTTTATTTGGCATGAGAGGTGTGATTTAAATTTATGTCAATTAATTAACTGACAAATAAACTGGGTGAACTTAATAGAAAAAAGTATCAATGATAGACATTATTGAACATGAGATAAACTTCTGTGTAAAAAAGTCAGCTGCTGAAGATTTACCTGATTTTACTGAATGCCTGACACAAGAGATAATTATTTTATAATTCACAATAAGCTGAAGACTCTTATAACAAGAGATGACTACTTTCTGTAACATTTACATGGCCAGTTCAAGTGGGACATTTGTCTTCCTGCAGAGAGCCTTCCAGTGTTCTAGCACCCTAAAGTCCTGCAACTATAGTAGGCTAGCGCAAAGCAGTCAAAATTATACAAAAACCCTTTGGTTTTTTTTTTTTTTTTTATTATTTTGTTTTATTGCCTTGACTTATTTTATGCACATAAAACTTTCTCCAATTATTATTCCTAAATTTACAAACACATATTTAGGCCCAATTGGTTTATACATTACATTTGGCAACACAAACTCTCCACTCCATCTTGGCAGCTGGTGTACTATAACAATGTCGCTGCTGCCCTTTGTCGTTTCTCATTTCCTCCTGTTCCAGCTTTTCGTGGCACATAATCTTATTTTATTTTTTATTTTCATATTTTTAACTATTTTCATTTCTTTATTTAGTTTTATTTTTTATTTCTTATTTAATCTATCAATTATCATTTATAAATTAATTCACTCATTTATTTTTATCAAAAAGTCATTATTTTATTTTCATTCTTTTTTTTTACATATTCATGTTCTATTTTTGTCTATCAAATTGCATTAATATTATAAGGTAAAAATAAATTATTTAAATGCCCAAAAAGGCATAAGAAAGGGCCAACCGTGCGAGGGCTTTATAGCCAGTCAAGGTTGTTAAACACACCCATCATCATCGCCATTTCAACAGTCTTTCTGATTTTGATAGTTTAACTGCAGTATATGACATTTCTTTTAATTTGTTGCATATGTAGATTATATTCTCATTTTGGCATATACATATTCTTATGGTTAAAATTTCTACAAGGAGCTAAGGGAGAAAGTAAGTTGGGATAATGTGGCTTATATCTAAGCTTAAGGCTTGATTGTACAATTTGACATTAAAGACCTCATTAACATATATGCCAAAATGGGAATATAAATGTTTTACTTTGAGGATCTGACAGCGGTACTGGGTATCTAATTGTATCTTTAGTTGTTAGATTTGGCAAATATGTACTTATCATACATTCTGAGCATTTGTCTATCATTGAAGATGGTAGATGTCCATTTTGTTTACTTTTGTAGTTAGGTTGCTGACAAGTTGATGTTTACCCAACATTTCCTTTTATCTACAATTATTTTGTTAGTGTATATATATATATATATATATATATATTACACAGTAACGTTAAGTGTAAAGACATGAAAGATGACTGATTTTATTTTTTCATTTAACTTCTTAAATAAAATTGATGAGATTTTCTGTTCAATTCTAATAAGTTAAATTGGTTTAATATGTATTTTTCATAAAATTTTTAATTGCCCCATGTAGATCATAAATTTCTTTTTAAATGTTCAAGATTAATCTTTTTTCAGTCTTTGATTAAAATATTCCATAAAAAGAAAGCGAAACCATATCAAAGCAACCTAGACCATGTTTCTATGGGACATACATTAGTACCAACTATAAAAGGAACAGCAACCACCAGATGCAAACCTTATAAAGCAATTATATATTATCAATACATCTAATCATTTAATAGAAAATAAATAAACAATGATAAATGAGGAATATGATAACATACCAGTAAACCACACTAAAATAACAAACATTTTAAAATATATATATAATTGTTTGTAAACCATTAAAACAATTGTAACTTAAGTGATGAGCACATTGACAGTGATGTTCATATTTTGTAAAGATGACGGTAAGTGGTTCTTTGTGAATAATGCTTTTACAGTTTCATCTAGGCTCATAACTTGTTAATTGGTGTGCATGGCCTTTTTAAAGAGACCCACTGTTTGACAACTTCTAACTTGTTAATTGGTGTGCATGGCCTTTTAAAGAGTCCACTGTTTGACAACTTCTAACTTGTTAATTGGTGTGCATGGCCTTTTAAAGAGACCCACTGTTTGACCACTTCTAACTTGTTAATTGGTGTGCATGGCCTTTTTAAAGAGACCCACTGTTTGACAACTTCTAACTTGTTAAGGTTGATTGATTTATTGATTGTTGTATGCTTAAAATCCAGCGGCAAATATTTCATTTTCATGCATGTTCAGGACTTGTATAGGTCAATAAATAATATTCATCTACATCTTTGATTGGTTTCACTTTTTTCTCCATTTTATAAGGTTGATGTTTATAATATCATCATAGTAGAAAACATACTTTCTAACTGTCTTCAATTTATTTTCATGGAGTTTTAAAAGCATCAAGGTTACTAAGTTCCACTTATAAACTTGTTCTTATTGTAAAGTATCTCTAAATGGATTAGAGATTGTGACATCACCTTATGCGCCAATTGCTATTATTTTTTTTAATATTTGAACCTAATTATATTTTTATTAAAGGTATGGTATAATTGGGACGTTTATGTATAAAATTTAAAGAAGAGCAGAGAAAAAAGGGTGTTGGTGTACAACAAAAGACTGTATTGCTATTTTATATACAGAGGAGCAGTGTATTGTACAACAAAAGACTGTATTGCTATTTTATATACAGAGGAGCAGAGCATAACTGTTTATATTGAATCTCTATCTCATGGAGTATAAATGATTTTACAACATCTCTATCTCTTGGAGTATAAATGATTTTACAACATCTCTATCTCTTGGAGTATAAATGATTTTACAACATCTCTATCTCATGGAGTATAAATGATTTTACAACATCTCTGTCTCTTACATCTCTATCTCATGGAGTATAAATGATTTAACAACATCTCTATCTCTTACATCTCTATCTCATGGAGTATAAATGATTTAACAACATCTCTATCTCTTGGAGTATAAATGATTTTACAACATCTCTATCTCATGGAGTATAAATGATTTTACAACATCTCTATCTCATGGAGTATAAATGATTTTACAACATCTCTATCTCATGGAGTATAAATGATTTTACAACATCTCTATCTCATGGAGTACAACAGCTGCAAGAAGCAGACTTGATTTAGAAAATAAAAAGAAACATCTGACATTGAAAAATCCAGAAGTATGAAAAAGAGACCTATATAAGCTGTAAGCTACAAAATTACAGTCCTTAACCATATTCTGTCCTCTGTCATAAGTTTGCTATTTAACAACATTAAATTGCTTTAACTACACCAGTGTAATCTACCATTGCTAAGTCCAGATAAAAGAGGGGACAGAGGCACTGTTTTAATTAAATAAAATTCATCTAAGAATTGACACAATCGTATGTTTAAATTTGGGTGCAAATGATACTAGGTAGTTTGAAATGAGTGGCATAAATGTTATATTGACACAAACAGATCTCTCCAAAAGTCATTACTTAACATCTCTTTTCTTGTGTTTCTTTAACAGTAAACCAAATATTCCCAATGAAAAAGGTAAACAATACCTTTATTTTATTTATAAAATGTTTCAGTTTATTGCATATTCCTATTCATGGCATAGGTTTCTCTGACAATTTGTAGTTTAAACAAATCCATTGGATTTGATTGCTTTGTAAATAAACCTTATGTGGAGACATTCATGGTTAATTCATTTCCTGGTGATTAAAAACAACCAAACCAATAAGCATTGATATTCATCATTGTGGTTCACAGAAGTTCACAGGGGTCAATTATCAAATAGATATAAGAAGTTGTGGTATGAGTGCCAATGAGACAACTCTCCATCCAAGTCAAAATTTATAAAAGTAAACCATTATAGGTCACAGTACGGTCTTCAACACGGAGCCTTGGCTCACACCGAACAGTAAGCTATAAAGTGCCCCAAAAATTACTAGTGTAATACCATTCAAACAGGAAAACCAACAGTCTAATCTATATAAAAAACGAGAAACAAGAAACACTTATGAACCACATCAACAAACGACAACTACTGAACATCAGATTCCTGACTTAGGACAGGTGCAAACAAATGCAGCGGGTTTAAACGTTTTAATGGTACCAAACCTTCACCCTTTTTCTGAAACAATAGTGTAACATCACAACATAGAAAGAAACACTATAAAATATCAACTGAAATAGCTTAACTCAATCAAAGGACATTAACACCAGTGAACATACACTGAACAAATAAATTTGACCTGTGATACAATGTAAATACAAAATAAATAAACTAAGGGAAGAATAATAAAAGTAACATGTTATGTTGGTATGAAATTTTAAACAATTTAAGAAAAACAATATGCTCGAACAAAAATATCAGCCATTTGCAATAACTTTAAACACAGGTAAATGAAAATAATTTTGTTGTTAGGTATACGTGTACAGTTCCAATAGAGAAAGGAAATATTTATACAAAATAAATAATTTTGATGTTCATAGTACGAAGTGAAAATTTATAGTAATACCAAACACTTATCAAAGCAGGTATATAGACCAGATATAACCCTGAATAACAACTTAGAAAAAACACCAACCATCAATCAAAACTTAGATACATGTATGATAATTGTTTTCTTTAACTGAAGGAAAATATGAAAAATCTCTACTGAAAAATGCTGCTCACCTGATTAAACTGGACAAAGTTTATTTCAAGTTTCAAAAACTGACAGCAAATAACTTTTGTTATTCTTGTAATAAGGTATGTTAATGTGATTACTGTAAATTCAGAAATTAATGTGTGCATTTATTATTGTTTATCCTTAACCTTTTAACAAAAAAAAGGTGAAATCTAATTAATGTAATGCCAAAAAAATGTTACCAAGGAAAGGCACTACTGCAATTGTGAATGCTAATTTCTATTACAATGTATGGCTAACCTGAAACAGCCACATAGCAATAATTTTTGAATTTGCAGTAATTGTTAGTCAGCTTGCATTAAAAGGACTCAATCTGTTATCTCTAAATAATAACTCTGAATGCACATGTACCTGTCAATAGATTATTAAGCTTACCTTGAGACTCTTCTGCCATCCTTGATAGAGGTCAAGGACAACCTCTTTTTTTCTATTTTACATTGCCTAAAATATAAACTTGTGTTATCAATGACTAATCTTGCTAAAAAAAGAGATTTGGGGTATACATTTTGAACATTGATAATAATAATAATAATAATAATAATAATAATAATAATAATAATAATAATAATAATAATAATAATAATAATAATAATAAATTCTTTATTTAAAGAGGGTAAACACAGTTAGTTACAATTACTAATCTTCCCTGAGGCCCTCATATACAATACAAGTAAAAAAAATAATAATAAGAGAATAAAAAAAAAAAAAAAAAAAAAAAGCAAACATACATCATATTAACACAATCGTATAGTCATGATAGTTCAATGTACAAGTACCATTAGAACATTTAAAACAGTTACAGATTGCATGTAGTAAATAGATATAATATACAAATCAAAATCATACCTTCTAAAAAAGTAATAGTTGCAATCATTTCAAGACTGAATATTGGGACTGCCTCAAGTATCGTTTTATAATTTGTTTAAAAGAAAAAGTGTTTTGCACTTTACGCATTTCATATGGTAGTCTGTTCCATAAAACTGATCCAGAATAAGCAAAAGATTTTTTAAACAGTTCAGTTTTTGGCTTAGGAATTATCAAATTACCTTGAGTAACACCCCTTAAAGCATAAGGATTATTAACAGATATAAGTTGAAACTTTTGAAGTAGGTACTGTGGTGCTTCTTTCCGCATACATTTATATAGCAGTAAATATTTGTGGTATTTGATTCGGTTTTCTACTGTCATCCATCCAAGTTCTTTAAATAAGGGGGCTGATGGGGATAAAGGGTCTGCATCAAGAATTAATCTTGCCGCCTGTTTTAAGTTTTAATATTCTTATTATCCCTTCATTTTAACATTCTCCCCAAACAATACAGCAGTAATCGATGAGCGGCAGAATATACCCATTATAATATGCTTTCCTGGCATTAATATCTAAAAATTACTTTAATTTAGAAAGAAGGTATATTCTTGATGAAATGCTAGCATAAATTTGATCAATTTGATTTGTCCAGCTAAGTGTGCTGTCAATTTTAACACCTAATAATTTTTCACATGATGAATTTTGTAGTGTTTCTGAATTTATTTGTAAATTTGGTTGAAAAGATTGAGTTGATAACTTCTGACTTGTTCCAGTAACCAAACATTTAGTTTTTTTAGTATTGATGAACATATTATTAATTTTGCACCATTCTTCAACTCTGCATAAATCTTCTTGTACATCATCATGTAAATTTTCTATGTTTTTCCCAGATTTATGAAGAGTAGTATCATCAGCATACAAGTCTGTTTTACAATTTTTTAATGCAAAGGGGAAGGTCATTTTATAAATAAGACAAATAATAGAGGACCTAGTATAGATCCTTGGGGGACACCAAATTTCACATCTTTTTTATCAGAATTAACATTGCAAATGTTTACTTGCTGTGTTCTATTACTTAGGTATGACCTGAAAAAACCTACTGCAGACTCACTGAATCCATAAATAGCAAGCTTTAAGCAAAGAATGTCATGATCTACAAGATCAAATGCTTTTTTGAAGTCCAACAGTATTGCTAGGTTTAAATTATCATCATTCATTTCTTGCAGCCATTTGTCAACGATATCAATAAGACAGTAACTCAATAATATAACCAAACAAAAGACATCCAGAGGTTGTGTTTGTGACAGAAAATACATTGTTATCAATTAACTATTAGCTAATCTTTATCCTAACTTTAAAAATATACACTCATTTTTTTAGGTGTCACTACTTTATATCAATAATAATTGTATTTTCCCCTTTATATGCAAAATTCTAAAAAGCAGTAATGGAACTCCTTAAAACTTTGGTCATAACAAAGTGCAATAGTTTGATGTTGACATGGTTGAAGTGCATTGCAAAAAAATGTTACTTATATTTTTTTTACTTTGAAAGTTGTTTAATTGGCTTCAGCATGTAGTTACTTTGAGATGAAGAACAGCATATAAAGCAAAATAAATAGATTAATATACATGATATAGTCCAATTTTTATTTTCTTTTAATTTATAAGAGAATTTTTGCTTAGTAACCATGCATGTAATTTAGCTTTATTATTTAATCAAGCCTACAAGTCTTAAATAACACGAAACAGAAATTTCACCAAAAATGTCAGAGGCATATAATTGTTACAGCCTAATCAGGCTATTATAGTCTGATCGTTAGCTCTGATTTTCAACCTATTTTGAGTAGAATTCCTGAGAAAATGTTACTCTAAAAAACATGCAAAATTGAATAATATCTAAGTTTTTTTTTTTATCAACTCTTTGGAAAAAATTAGGCAGACAAGAATAGTTTCCTAAGATTTTGGTGATTCCAAATATTAATATCCAATCCAGTAACCTAAATACTCATGTAAAAGGGTTCGGATTCTAGAAGCTTTAGTTGAATTGAGGATCATTGTCATTGTGTTCAAATCATCATAGATTCACAAAACCTGATGATGATGCTGTAAATTCAGAAATTAATGCATGCATTTATTATTGTGAATCCTTGACCTCTGGCAGAAATGTTAAATCTAGTTAATTATGCAGTGGCAATATTTTATAAATCACTTTTGAAATTCGTAATTGGATGTTTTATAATTAAGAACCTGCTACTGTCACATTTTTGCACATTGATAAAAACATCACAGCAGAGCAGCTATTTCTGCATATTTCTACACGAAAAAGAAAAGGACTAGTCGAAATAATGCTGAAATAATGCTGATATCTTCTGAGAATATTTTCAAATTTTTATTTTTATTGTCAGTAACTGCGCTGCGAGTACTCTCAGATCTTTACTTAGTGTCCTTTATGTTGTGGGATGTATAGATAAGCTGCTACGTCCTGTCTGTGTTATCGTTAGATGTTTTCTGATTTGTACCGATCTGATGAGTTGAGCCCTTTTTAATTGATTTTCATAGTTTGTTCTTTTGTTGTAATGTTACCACACTGTCCCAGGTTAGGGGAGGGCTTGGCACCAGTAAACTAGTTTAACCCCGCCACATTCTATATGTGCCTGTCTCAAGTCAGGTGCCTGTAGTTCAGTGGTTGTTGGTTCATGCCTGTCATATATGTTTTTCGTAAATTGTTTTGTTATAAATTAGGCCATTAGTTTTCTCAATTGAATTGTTTCATTTTTTTCCATGTCCGAGGCTTATATAGCTGACTATACTGTATGGATTTTTCTCATTGTTGAAGGTCGTACACTTACCTATAATTGCTTATATCCGCTTCATTTGTATTTTGGTGGATAGTTGTCTCATAGACAATCATACCACATCTTCTTATTTCTATATAACAAAAAACTATGATTTTTTTTCAAGCAGTCGCTGAACCATGAAAATGATGTCAAGGACCATGGACATATGACAGATGGAAACTTCAAAACATAAGGTATCTGCATACATGTGAAATATAAAGGTTTATACAAAAACTTTACGCAACAGCTGCCTGATAGCATGATAATTCCTATGTCTTGCATACTGCAACTTTTTTAACAGATTACTTTAGAAAACTGAGGTTTAGCTAGCAATAAAACCAGGATTAATCCACCATTTTCTACATAAGTAAATGCCTGTACCAAATCAGGAATAAGACAGTTGTGTTCCATTCGTTTGATGTGTTTGAGCTTTTGAATTTGCCATTAGATAAAGGACTTTCCGTTTTGAATTTTCCTTGGAGTTTTAATTTGTATTTTTGTTATTTTACTTTTTTCTTTCTAAAAATATTTATGTTTTAATTTTTTAACCTGTACAGACATATCTTTTAACATGTTTAAATTGCCATATTCGTAAAAAGAGTTTCTTCATTGAAAGTTCATGTGACAAGAGCAGATCAGTTTACTCGAAAACTTGGATGTATATTTAGAGAAATTGTAACATGCTAAGGACTATTCACACACTCTGAAAATTTGTGACCTGAAAGATCATTAGATTTTGTATGTACATGACTTTTTCCATTTTTTTTTATCAATATGCAGAAACGATTAACATTTTTTCAAATTTCAGTTTAAAACATAAAATATCATATATTTCTAAAAACAGTAATACCATTCAACAAATAATTTCTTTAAAATATCAATTGTTGTTTAGAAATAACTCTTTATCAGTATCTTTACCAGCATTGATTTACTATTGATTTTTTCAACTTTTTCATAAGAAGCATGACTTTTTTATTGTTCTCGGTCATCAGTTTGCCACTGCCATGCATCATTACAATGTACAAATGATAATAGTGATTTCTTTTATCTGTAAAAATAGTACATGTATTAAACAAGAGGCTCTTAAGAGCCTCTGTCACTCACCTGATTCTACTTTGGTTTTGGAAATCATGTAAAAATAGATTAAAATCATAAAAGATACCCTTATAATGATTGAGGGCAAATTTGGTTTAATATTGGCCACGTAATTTAATCAAAAGCAGAAACTTTTGTAAAGTTTACAGAAATTACCAATAAATTCATTGAAATTGTAGAAAATGACTTTATAAGGACAATAACTCCAACAAGATGTCAATTGACAATTTTGCTCATGTTGACTTATGTGTAGATCTTCTTTTCTTGATATTTTTGCAGTTTACAGTATATCTCAATCTTATTATAAAGATACATGTGTTAAAATCTTCATCAGCACCTCATAAGGAACATTTATGCCATGTTTGGTTTCATTCCATTCAGTGCTCCTCTAAGAGCATTTGTATGTATTTCCCATAGGGTCTTATGTTAAACTAAGTCCCCTGCTGGCGGCCATCTTTGATGATGGTTCGGCTACAAAGTAACAACACTTGGTCAGCACCTCATTAGGAACATTCATGACATGTTTGGTTTCATTCTATTCAGTGGTTCTCTAGAAGAAAACATTTGTATGTATTTCCCATAGGGTACTATGTTAAACTTACTACCCCTGCTGGCAGCCATCTTGGATGACAACACTTGGTTAGCACCTCAAAAGAAACATCCATACCATGTTTGGTTTCAATCCATTTAGTGGTTTTCTAG